GAAAATGGTATGCTTAGACTCCCTTAATTCCCCTGCAAATTAGAGAGTTATACATAAGGATTGAAATATTTTCAATTTTTTCTTACAGCACTCACAGGAATTGGTAATTAGCCAGAAGAAAGAAAGAAGATACTGATTTGTCTACTAAAAAAGAGCAAAATAAATAGGTTGTACTCATTTCCTGAAGAGTAGAAGCTACTAAATACCCCTTTTAGGGCATTAAGATGACTGTATCCAATACAGATAGTCTGAGTTTAAAGCCATTTGTGAACCACTTAGACAGAAAAGCTTTTCCCACATTATTCCCATTTTGCTGATAGGAAGTGGAGGCCCAGATCCCTGTTCGAGATCACTCAACACCCCTACAACCAAGATGGGCAGAGAAACCACAGACTGTGCCCAACCCTCTGCCTACCAGTGACAGCTTCTTCATGAGCAATTCAGGAAAGATTTTGCCATGTTGCACCAAGTATTGCAACACAAGTTTTTGATCAGGATGGCAAAGCATTGCTTTTCTCTTACAGTTAGAGAGATAATGTCTTTGAAGGTGTCCTCTTGCTAAGCCTGCCTATTTCTGCTTAGGCTATGACAAGCCACCTGTATTCATCATGATGATATATGTAAACGAAATAGGAATCAGTAGCATAAAAATGTTTATTCTCAGGTAAAACTCTAGGACCATTTTAACGATTTGCTGTATATAGGCAGTAAAAAGATACAGTCATGGAATTTAAAAAAAAGACCCTCAACCAACTATCGGTTCTGCAAGCTGTGGTAGGATGGGACAGGTAGAACTCCCTCTAGAGGTGCACAAGCGTGCTGCTGAGGTGTGCAGTTTTTCCACAAATAGCAGTGCCCTCTTATGGAGATACACCTATAGACACATACACCTACGAGCTCCCTGTGGAAGTGGTATCTCTTGCTTTTTGACATCCTGGCTTACGTTTTCATTTATTTTGGGTTATTAGCACAACTTCTTCAGTGCAACAATTGGTTTATTATTAGAAAAGTCAGGATAAATGAAAAAGTAAGAGTACTTAAAACATCAAGTGACTCCACATTCAGAAAAACTGCCATAAAAAAGTCATTGCTCTACGAGTATCAAAAATGTTACACAATTCAAACAGCACATCCTCTACACCACGGTTCCTGAAGAAGGTAGGCTCTGGGGTTTACACCATATATGCACTGATATTCGTGAAAGCACAGCCACAGCATTGGCTTAAAGTGCTGGCTCAAAGAACAAACTATTAAGCTGTCTTATCTATTTGGATAAGATGCATCATGTCAACTTCATGCCTGGTATGAATAGGACTCAACCTTCACAGGGTGTGTCTGATTATAAAGCTTATGGTGCCTTTCAGCCCTGATCTGCATGAGCTTTTGTACCACAGTATTAGTCTTGTTCCCAAAGACTGCCTTTTCAGGTGAACATTATCAATGGTCCAGTGTCCAATACAACCAACATCTCAAAATGTGATCAATAAAATTATTTTCTGTATCTCCAGAGGTGAAAAACAAAACAAAAAAATCCCCTCAGTTATGCTAAGCTATTAAGCAAATACCTCCAAAACCTAAACTCTACAAAACATTCAGCCCGGAGAAGAGAAGGCCACGTGATGGTCTCATGGCAGCCTTCCAGTTTGTGAAGGGGGCCTACAAGGGTACTGGGGAGGGACTCTTCATCAGGGACTGTAGTGACAGGACAAGGGGTAATGGGTTCAAACTTAAACAGGGGAAGTTTAGGTTAGATATAAGAAGTTCTTTACTGTTGAGCGTGACGAGGCATTGGAACAGGCTGCCCAAGGAAGTGGTAAATGCTCCATCCCTGGCAGTGTTTAAGGCCAGGTTAGACAGAGTCTTGGGTGACATGGTCTAGAATGTGTGGTGTCCCTGCCCCTTGTCCTCTGACAATTTTTACAGGTCTTTTCATAACACAGTTGAAGCTCTGTGCACATACAATAATTGTGGAACTCCATCTCCCCCTGTAAACCCACTTTAAATTTTGATGCCGTATTATTTTGTCAATGCAGTTATGTCTTGGTAACTGCATCACCCTCTAGTCAAACATTCAGTAACACTACACTTTTATAATCATCTACTCTCTATGTATATTGTTAGAACAGAACTTTTTGTAGTAATACATAAATTGTTTAAAATGCTGTCAAACTACTACAGGTACTTCACTTGGAAAAAAAAAAATACTGGACTACAAAGCAGTGGGTGTCACTTTTCCAGAAGCATTATTAATGGGGACTATTTTAGTCTTCAGCGATGGAGAATGATAGGCTGTAGCATTTCTTCAAGTTAAGAATAGAAAAGAATTGTACTTCCAAGAATTCAACTACTCTGCATTAAAGCCACCATGGGGTTACTGTACATTTATACATCAGAAAGTCAGTAAATTATTTTTCTATAAATTAGTCTCTCAAAGTTGACTTTTTTTTCTTTCAGTTCTGAATGCCAAACTCCTGACTGCTTCTCTACCACAGAGACTTCATATCTGGATAGCCGACATCTGTAAAAACATTTCTAATGAAAACACTACTAATACAACCCCCTGGAGAAACAAATGAAATGAGATCTAAGTATGCAGCCGCCTTTCTTCAGTTCTGTCTTTAACAATAGCGAGGCTAGTGCTTCGCATCCAAGCCTTGACACAGGTCATGATCATTTAGGCACAGTAGTAGGAAAATAAATAATTGTGTAAATATGTAATAACTGGTATAAATACTTCAGCAGCACTTAGAAGATATGATAAAGGACTTCCGTCTTTAGTTGTGCATTAGGGTTTATCTTGGGGACTGGAACAGAGGAGCATTCAAGCTGCAGGAAGGAGAATTATGGATTCAATACTTGAAGTTCAGTGCCAGACGTAAGACTACTTTCTTTTCCACAACAGCAGTTTTGAAAGTGTATTAGTATTGAAAGTATTTAATACCTGCTAAAGTATTGTAGAAACAGTGATTATACCTTTTATCCCAAAAGCCAATATACTGGAAGGTTCAGTAATGTACTTAAATAAACCAGTTTCAAAGCAAACCACTGCCAACTGCTTGCTAAAATAATTTTTCATATTTTTCCATAATGCATTCCATTGGCTAAGAATTTAGAGAATTTTTTTCTGATAAACACTCTAACAATTAAAAGGGAAAAAAGGTCTGTTTATTTGTAACAGTTCTTAAAATCTTAGCTAATGCTCCATATCAAGGTGTATAAACATACTGCTTTCAGTTTCTCTGCCTCAATTTTCAACCTGTACTAAATAATTTGACCCAACTCTTTGATAGTAAAGATTGGTAATAACAAATCCCCTCCCAGTGTAAGAACCATTAGCACATATGGAGACAGGAGGGGGTATTCTGCCTGAACATTATCATAAAAGAGAACAGTGTTTCTAACTGCTCTCACTTTTACAGGGGCTAAGGCTTCTCCTGTCACATTACTAGAAACAGGAAACAAAACTTTCTGCTCAAATACATAGTCACAAACCAGGCATAAAATCCTTCATAGTTATTAAAATTTTCAATTTTATTTAAGTAACACACCTGAAAAGTCCTAGGATACCATTTCGTAAAATAACCAATTACAAAAAAATCAGTCAACACAATGTGTGATCTTCAAGTCTAAGGCACCCTCCAGCGTTTGAAGAAGAAACTACACTTCCAGCAAGTGAGCAAGCATTTGAAGACAATCAGCATGAGCAAGTCTCCTGTCAAAATAGAAGCTCCCCAATTAATCTGCAGTAATTGCAGATGAACATGCATCAGTGATATGACAAAGCCATGATGTTAGAAAAGTTGTAAAATTATATTTTTAAGGATTTGTATTGGATTTATGAAAGTGTTATTTGCTAGCGGAGAGGGATCTCTTTAAGCACACTAATCTGAAAAATATAGGAGTGTGCAAACTATTAGAAAAGCATTTCTTACGAAATCTGGTATTGAAAAGTAATAATTCCTCACAGAATATGATCTCTGTGTTTATACGGCTTGTTTAAAACTTCTCTAAAGGAACAAAGAGTTTATTTAACAGGAGATGCGTCCATAGTAAGGAAGAAGAAAACCAATACACCTAGAGGCAAAACCAGATACAAGATTAAAAAAATAATTTATAATTAATATGATACAAAACAGAAAGGTCACATGAATACAGCCACATCTACAGAAGCTCACTCATTTTTTGTAAAAAATAATGAGAACTTTTTTTCATTGGTATCTTGGTTCATTCTCAAAGTAACAAATCCTAAGATGTTTTCAGTACTTGGCATTCTAATAGAGAAACATTCTGCCTACAGAACAGACAAAAATGCCTTTTGAAAGCACAGTGTTGTAAGGTAATGATATTAGTTAGATCTGCACAAATAATTTTAAAATTACTGAAATAGAATGAAAGCTGGAAACCAAAATGTTTTCAACTGTGATTATGCTAACAAACCAACCTTTCCTGCAGAATTGAACACCTTGAGACTGCTCACTTTCATACTTACATAATAAAACAAAACCTTACATATAATTTAAGTGGTAATGAGATAATGCTTTGAAATATATGTTAAGTAAGTGCAAAGTGGTTGCAAAGATCTTGATTAAGGAAAACATCTTTATTTAGAAAAGCTCTTGTTTATGTATGTGTTCAGAATTTAAAGTGTATAAATTCACTGAAGTAGTACTTCCACTATCTCATTAGGGATGAATATAAGAATGCATGCATACTTTTGAACTCCTGGGTTCACCTATATAGGTCTAAGTGCAAAACTGCTAGGATTTTCACCATGTACAAGCAAACAAGATACTCAGTAACTGATTCAGTTTCATAAAGTTTCAGAGATATGCCCTCAGCCTCGTCTCTTCTTTCTACAAAACTTAGTCATGTTAGTTCATTACAGTTAGAGAAGCAAAATTTGATTATTTTGTGATTTAATAAAAAAGTGACATATGGCTGGTGCTGCACTTAGCTTCAGAATTAAGAGTTCTGTAATGGAAACAGCTGATGTCACAGCTGAAGGAATCTTTTCAAAAATTGAATGAACTTATGACAATATGGACCAACAATCTTAGAGTACATACTAAAAACATTACAAATAAACATAGCCATGGTGATGCAAAAAGAGGCAGAAAACATTTCAGAAGAAACTACAAAATATAAATATATTTACATATGTATACACATGAGTATAAAAACATTAAAAAACAGCTGTCACCACTATAAAACTTAAAACTGCACTTAACTTCACATTTTGCAAATATTTACATCCACTTCAGAAAGACCTAACAATAATGTGCAAAATTAAGCATTACCTTATGTATTTGTAAGGCAATACAAAAAATCACTCTGCTCAAATTTTGGTTTTTATCAACTCTTGTTTGTGTTTATTTAGTGATGTTCCTTTTTGCAATAGCTTCTCTGATTTGACGATCAAGTTCACTCACAATATGGTCTTCATGATTATATACTCCTGTTCTCAACAGGGTATCCCTCTCTTCTATTAGACGAGAGAGATAATCATCTGTGTTCTCATTTAATTTTCTAGAATTAGAAATTCTATTAGCAGAATTAGCTCTAATATCTTGCAACTGCTTTCTTTCTTCTTCTTGTTGCTTTAGCCTGATGTTGATAAAATGGAAAGAATCAAAGGATGAGCTGTATTAAAACCCTCTCTGATTATGTTCATATTAAGTCTGTAGGTTATTTATCTACTTAGTAAAATAAAGAAATCTACAAAAGGCAACAAATTACCCTCTCACTTGGGAAAAACAACCATAAGTAAAAGAAATCTTAATATAATACTTAAATTCTAACAATACTTTTTCATAATTAAATTCTAATAATATCTTTTCTATATGCATATGTAACAAATAGCATGCTATCAAGGCTCCCATTCTGATAGTTCAAGCAAGGTTCAAGGTATAACAACTACTGCAGACAAGTTTTCAGAGGAAAACATTAGGTAGATTGACAATTTAATGTGTTCAAAATACGAACACTTTATTTTCTTAATGCAGCAATTATCCATAGAACAGAAGGTTTGAAACAGAAAAAAGCCTGATGCTGTACAACTACGACTAACATGAAAAACATGTACAGTGTCCTTAATCATACATTTTCTATACTGCAGTACTGTTACATTTTATAAACGTGAAATCTTTACCTAAGGGGCACTAAACTGTGTTCTTTCAGTGGACTGACAGCCAATTATTACCTTCGTTTCACAGAATCATAGTATGGTTAAGTGTGGAAAGGACCTTAACTTCATCTAGTTCCAGCACTGCTGCCATGGGCAGGAACACCACAAACTCTAGACTACGTCACCCAAAACTCCATCCAACCTGGCCTTGAACACTGCCAGGGATGGAGCATTTACCACTTCTTTTGGCAACCTGTTCCAGTGCCTCACCACCCTCACAGTAAAGAGCTACCTATCCTGAACTTCCCCTGTTTCAGTTTGACCCATTACCTTTTGTCCTACCACTACAGTCAGTCTCTAATGAAGAGTCTGTCTCCAGCACTCTTGTAGCCCCTTCAGATACTGGAAGACTGCTACGAGGTCACCACACAGCCTTCACTTCTCCAGGCTGATCTGCCCCAGATTTCTTAGCTTGCCTTCATAGAGGAGGTGCTTCAGCCCCCTTATCATCTTTGTGGTCTTCCTCTGGACTTGCTCCAACAGCTTCATGTCCTTCTTACGTTAAGGACAACAGAACTGTACATAGTACAGTAAGTGTGGTCTCACGAGAGCAGAGTAGGGGGCAGGATCACCTCCTTTGACTTGATAATCACACTCCTTTTGATGCAGCTCAGTACAGAGTTGGTTTCTGGGCTGCAAGCGCACACTGAAGGCAGCTTATGTTCAGTTTCTCATTACTGACCAACACCCCAAGTCCTTCTCCACAGGGCTGCTCTGAACCTCTTCTCTGCTGTGCCTGGGATTGCTCTGACTCAGGTGTAGGACCTTGCACTTGGCTTTGTTGAGCTTCATGAGGCTGGCATTGGCCACCCTCTCAAGCATTTCAAGGTCCCTCTGGATCCCATCCCTTCCTTTCAGTGTGCCAGTTGAATCACACAGCTTGGTGTCATTGGCAAACTTGCTGAAGGTGCATCAATCCCACTGTCCATGTCACCAACAAAGATGTTCAAGATTGGTCCCAACACTGACCCCTGAGGGACACCACTTGTTAACTGCTCTCCAATTGGACATTGAGTCGTTGACCACAACTCTCTGCATGTGGCCGTTCAGCCAATTCCTTATCCACCGAGTGGTCCATCCATCAAATTGATGTCTCTCCAGTTTAGAGACAAGGATGTCATGTGTGACAGTGCTGAATACTTTGTGTAAGTCCAGGTAAATGACGTCAGCTGCTCTGCCCCTGTCCATCAGTTCTGTAGCCCCATCACAGAAGGCCAAACTTGTCAGGCATGATTTCCCCTTAGTGAAGCCATGCTGGCTGTCACCAACCACCTTATTGTTTTTCATGCGCTTTAGCATGCTTTCCAGGAGAACTGGATCCAAGGTTTTGCCAGGTAGAGGAGAGACTGACTGGTCTGTAACTCCCCAGACCTTTCATATTCTCCTTGAAAATGGGATTTTTCTGCCCTTTTTCCCTGTTGTTGGGAACTTCACCTGAACACCATGATTTTTCAAACATAATAGGCAGTGGCTTAGCAACTTCATTCACCAGCTCCTTCAGGACCTGCAGATGGATTTCATCAGGTCCCATGGACTTGTGCCTGTTGAGGTTCCTAAGATGATCTTGAACCTGATCCTCTCTTACAGCAGGTCTAAGATCTTCATTCTCACAGTCCCTGCACCTGTCTTCCAAGACTTAGGTGGTGTGGTCAGAGCATTTGCTGGTGAAGACTGAGGCAAAAAAGTCATTGAGAACCTCAGCCTTCTCCAAATCCAAGGTAGCCAGTTCTCCTGTTATCTTCCACAGAGAGTCCACATTATCCCTAGCCTGTCTTTTGTTTGCAACGTATCTATAGAACCCCTTCCTGTTATCTTTGACATCCCTTGCCAGACTCAGTTCTAACTGGGCCTTAGCTTTCCTGACCTGATCCCTAGCTTCTGAGCCATCTTCCATTTCAAGACACATGGCAAGAAAAGAGAGGGGAGTGGTCAAAAAGACCAAACCAAAACAAACACCATCAAATCCCAAGCCTTACAAACGCTTTCATACCTGTTAAGTTCATTTCTGATATCTTCCAACTCTTGACGGTCTGGTTTCCCCAGCTCTTTTTCTTCTGCTGCCAAGTAGCGCAACCTCATGTGCTCCAACTCCTGTTGCTGTTTTTTAAGGTAAGCCACTGCATTTTCTTGTTCACGCTAACAGAGGGGGTGAAGACATAACTCAGTTGACTATGTGGTTACATATAGAAGTGCTAATTACAGCAACACGAGCAATACTTCAGCCGTATTAAAAATGCAGAATCTCTTACTGCATTATAGGCATCAAGAGCTAACACAAGTGACTACCGCAACTGCAGTAAAAATGTCCAGTCTGGATCAGCTAAGTCCAGTCACAGATACCTTCCCATTAAGAAACCAGCAAAAATGTTAAAAACACTTTTACACACTCTGGCTTAAACCAGTAAACAAAGTTTACACTTTTGGAACTGCTCAAGGTGCTTAGATTTATTCCTTTATTAATCCTTAGATTAATTCCTAAAATTGTAATTTTAAATCACAATTTCAGAAATAAAACCCAGAAAAATGCTAAATCACTGCAGGAAACTTCCATCATCAGCCCCACCAGTGCCTAGTGCCAAACCTTCAAGCACTACTTTTTGAAACTGCAATTTGTGGTTAAGAAAATAAGCCTTGAAAACAAAACTGTGGTGAGGATTCCTTTTATGTTTGTCTAGCTCTGTGTGAAACTCCAGGTAACTTATTCTGCAGATTAAATCCAATCAATCTATTCATTCTAAAAGTTTATTTGGATCTATATTTTCAAGCTCTATGCAAACACTGTAACAAAACTAGGGTCTGAGTCCACTACCACTTCGTGACATTAAAGTGTCTTAGTAAGAAGTATGGTCCCCTCTCCACTTGTTTCCCTTCTGGTCATTTTCCTTATGACCTTGTGACAGTCTTACTCTGAATGACACAGAAGACCTAAGGTAAAATGACATTTCTTCCTGTAGTTAAAAAATAAGGCAGGATGTTATACAAACATCCTGGATCTAGACATGTTGTGAAGTACAATGTTACCTTTGTAATTTTGACACTGCTTTCATCTGAAATATTTGACAGTTACTATAGTCAGTTTCATATTTATTGTAGGGCTAAAAAAATTTACGATTTCATTTGATGTGCGAATATATTCATTATGCAGTCAAACTAATAATATTTGGAAGAGTCTAGTCAGGCAGTTCCCTGTATCTCAGTCCCCCAGCATCTTAAGTACTCCCTGTTGATGATCAATAAGTGCTAAGAAAATCTGAATTTTACAAGGAATTGGTATTAACAAAGACTCTTAATTGTTAATGTCAGCAGGAAATAAAACAGAGAAGTACTTGACAAGAAATCATAGCATGTAAGTAACCCCAAATTACTAATACTAAATATATTATAGTATATTTCTTATACTAAATCCAGCACAGCAACCAGGCAAACTGGTAGAACTGCAGTGAGACAAGCCAGAAAGCCAGAACAACAACTTGTTAAAGTGATACATACTAATAATATAACTAGAAGAAAACATGGCAAAAGAGTCTACAGCAGATAGATGATCGAATCATAAAATAATCACACAGGGAAGATAAGGCCATAATCCTTCCTTCCTCATCAAGAGTTCACTGCAGAACATTCCCTATTTGCGAGGCACCCTTTTTTATGTAGGAGAGGTTTGAAGAACAGTCTCAGATTGAAGTAGAACAGGTATTAAAGCAGGAATTTACAAATACACATAGCAAATATTAACAAGTCACTACAGCTGGCTAATATTTATCCAAGATTTTTCTGTAATTCTAGTGAAATTCAAACACAAAGTCACAAGACTAACTGGGGATGTAATCCATCACTACAGTTGGTGTTGACACCACAGAAATAATTATTTCTCACTTTTTATTTTATTCCTTTTTTAAACAGAGGTCTTAAGGATACCCAGAAACTACCAGCAGGATTTACTTCCACAGTGGCCAAGTTGAAACCATAACTAAACCAAAACTAACAGGATGCATGGGTACACCAGGAAGAATGAATTCAGCTTTTGTTGAAAAGTCACTTCTATCTGAAAAAAAAAAAACCAAAATAAATCCCCCAAAACACCACACCAAAGAAACCACCTACAACCAAACACAAAACTGAGGTGTCACAGGGAAAATCCTCTCAGATTATTCACAGGGTTTAGAAGACCAGATAGCACTTAATCATTTCCACAACAGCAAGAAAGCAGAAGTAGGCTCCACAATAATGTACTCTTTGATATATTCATAAATGAGGAAGTCATTCTGCAATAAACAGTTGGCTGCCAATGCAAAACTATTCAGTGGGGTAAAGTGGATGTGAGAGTGGGACATGATAGGGACATACAAATTAGCTTGAAAAATAAAAATAAATTGCAAATATATTCACTGACATCTGTTTAACATGACAGCCTGAATGCAACTGCTGGCTCATGCTGTTCTTTATAAATTGACGGAGGGCAGCTGGAGGATATTCAAAGATATCCACGCTTGATTTCTAGGTCTTGTGCATCTACTGCTGGCCTCTGCATGGGCTAGACTGATATTTCATATCATATTGGCTAGTTTGTTTTTTTTTCCCACCCAATGAAAAGCACTAGCTGAAAGTCAAAACTAGGTAAACTCCCACTAGAGACATGATTCAAGTTATTAAACCAGTGGAAATTAATCACTTCAGCAATACAGCAAACATGTTACAGTCTCATAATCCCAAAATGTTTTGAATGAAGACAGATACTTGCATTTTAAAAAATGCCACAGATGAAGCATTACTTTAACAAAGACAGAGAACGGTTATAGGTGTTTTTTTTTAAATCCCAGCAAATATTATATCATTCTCTGGCTTCCAAGCACCTGGATAAGCAACAATATGCAGACAGTAAAGCCAAATTTCAAGATTTCAAGTATGCAATGGGCTATGAAGATTAACGGAATTATCTTAACTGTTTTGATAGTTGTACTTACCTTGCATTGTTTGCTTTGCTAACTGTGGATAGTAAGATAAAATGCTGAGCATGATCTAGTTTTAAATAGGTTGGTATAAAACCAGTACAAATTCAGCTATAGTACAAGTAAAGACATAGACAGCAAATCTGACTATCTCAAATTACCCACAATCTAGAAGCAAACTGCCTCACCTGTAGGAAAAAAACAAAACAAAACAAACAGCTAAGAGAATAAAGCCAACATCTTCCTCTTAGATTATGTAAAAAAAAAACCAAAAAGCACAAACTAAATCTTTTGCACACTTAGCTTCAATTTTCTCTTATTTCTAGCCCTTCTACTTATGCTGATTTGTAGATTGGTTAGCTTCAGTCCTATGCACTGCTACAGATGGTAAGGAAAGGATTAATTTCAGAAAAGAAAATCTTGCTCTGCAGTTCAGGTTATTTTAAACTAGGACTACTGTCATGAGCAGCAGGGGTATAAATGTAAGTCTGTCAAATTTCTGTATTAATTCTGTAAGAGAAGTTTTTTTGAAGGTACATTGGGCAAACATTACCTGAAAACTGAACACAGGAAAACTAACAAAAATCAGTGTGGCACTTACTGCACAGCAAAACTTTTAACATGCCTGCAGTAAAGGACATCCCTGCCTACTGCTAAAACATTATAATGCGACACATAATACACACAGATCAAATAGTGATCACTGAATAGAAGTCTTCTAATCCAGTCCTTCAGTTTGTGTAGTGTGTTACCCAGATCTATAAAAAAAGACTTTGAGTGTTCCTACAATTGCAGCTTCAGAGGAAAGACATAACTGTGTGTTCAGCCTAAGAAGAATGGCAGATTACTCAGTGATCCAGAGGTTTCTGCTGTTTAGCCACACGCTAACAATGGCAATTCGATCACAAAAAGAGCATTTTAAACTCAAAGAAAAGAGTATACATTAGAAGTACATATACTGAAGGTTAACAGAACAAAGTCCAAAGCTCAAACAGACCAGGAAGAAGACACAATATTCCTAACACTTTCCTATTTATGAGAAGGGTTCTCATTTAGTACTTTGGTCCTTCATGCCCTCACTGAACTAGTTAGTTTCAGAACCACAAAGATATCTGATAAAGAAGCATCTTTAGTGATGTTCAGTAAAACCAAGAAAAGGACAAAAGAGAGGATGATGCAAAAGCCAAGGAGCGATGTAGGAAAAACAAAGCTTTCCTGAAGAACCCTTTGCTCATTTCGTGATTCTTTTGATGTTTTTCTGCGAGGAAAAAGTCTGTGCAAAAAAAAAAATAAAAATAAAAAAAATACCCAAACTAAACCAAAACCCAAGCAAAGAAAAATGTATCAGTGTCACTAGTAATCATGCTCATTGCTCAGAATGATACCCATAGATTTTCAAGGAAGTAAGTTTGAATGTAAAGTGTTAAATTCTCCTTTTCTCTATAGAGAAAAACTCTTTTCAGTACATTTTATTTCCAACTTAACTGGGTAGGACTTCCTTTCAGATAAATATGATTAGAAATTTAACTTGATTTACTAATACAACTGTGATGTAAACAGGACAAATATCTGGCATTTCCTTATCTGGGAGGGGAGAGGGAAGAGACAACATTAATTTTAGTCCTGTAGTAGTGCAGGTCAGGAATATCTGTAGCATGCTATGCCATGACCCTGAACAGTGACATTTAAGCCCAATAATATTAAATTCACTAATAGAAATCAACATTTTTCTGAGGCAAGATTTCCCTAGCATTCATTTTAAGACAGTCCCACTTGGGAGTGGGGGGGAAACACATGAAAGAAAGTCAGGAGGGATTTTGCAGATTTGTTTATGATGGACCCTGCATGTAATTTCAGTTGCACAATTTGTACTCTTATTCTCAAGTGTCTTTCCCAACATTAATCTTGACTCCTTTAAAAGTCTGTCATAACAATTTGCAGGGTGCATAACAGCAAACTTGCTCCGTGTATACCATTCATAGCAGAACAACAGAAACCCATTTCCTAATAATCCACCAATACAAGAAGATGGCAAGAATTTACAAGAGTTGTTTGATCAGAAGTGATGAATGCTGATTATGAATTAATTTGTATACAGTTTTGTTATGATGCAATTGAGGGCCATTAAAAAGAATGAGTTTTGTTACAGTGAGAGAAAGAAGGATTTCTTATTCATCATAATGATGAAATTGGTGCCACCTTATCAGGGTACATTCAGATATTAGATCAATTTTTTCTAATCACAGTTAAAATATTCACTTAGCCACAAGCACTTTCTGGGCAGTTTTTTGTTTGGTTGGTTTTGGGGGTTTTTAAAACCAGGGAAGGAACTGAACTCTGCTGCATAGTAGTACTTGAAATACAGCAGAGTTAACTATGCCATCTTCCAAAGTGAAAAAAAAAAAATTAATAAAACTTCTGCACATTTAAAGTACTAATACAGTCCAACATTTTTACACCTACCTGTAACATCTTCATGTTATTCTGTGTATATTTAAAAACTAATTAATAATTATTTAAGTGTACCTCAGTGCACAAATGTTAATACATACATACTCATATGCTTAAAATTCTCAGTCAAGACTTACTAACACACTCTACATTTCCAGACAGAATATGATCTTATATTATTTCCTAAATAAGGAACATTTAAGATTATTTTCAGCTGCTTATTGCAGCCAGTCAGGTTGTTTTAAGCCTCAGTGAGAACTATCATAATTTTAAACCTTTAGAATTTTCTATTTGTAAATTTCAGGTAAGGGAACACTTGGACTCATCAGCTGCTGAACTAAATGCAGCTTTGTAGGGATAAGACCCACCAGAAACTTTACTCTTGTATTACCACCTAATTATCATCAGCAACTATCCCACACTGAGGCAGCCATAGATCAACCAAAGGTATCACGTGCAAATTACTCTGACAATTATTTCTGCAGTATGCTCTTAGTTGACCAAGATACCTTCTCCTCCACTACTTTCTCTAAGCACTTCTAGTTACAGTATTCCTTTTGCTCATTTTCTCCCCTCAGTAAAACTTATCACCAATATTCCTTTCCTTTATTAATCTGATATTTGCCACCCTCCTCTTATATACCCATAAACAAAATAATCCAGTCCAAATAAAGCCACATACTAGTCATCATTTACTTCAATGTTTTACTTATTTTCTTCATTAGTTTGCATCCCTGATGTAGTGCTTGAGATGTAGAGTAATATTTTAGGAGCTTGCACAGTGGAACTTTTGAAGCCTATGGTACTAGAGGAATACCAGCATTAAACAAAAATTAACCATCAATGAAAAAAAAATAATTCAATTATAATTTGATTATAAATGAATCCCAGTATGCTGCCAGGTGCTCTAGTTAAGAGGCTCTTCAATCAAGGAAGCACAATCGTTATTTTGCCATGGCTGCCTATAAATCCAAAAGGGAGATGTAAACATACATACACTAGACTAAACAATGGCTAAATAGCAGCCACTATTCACTCTCCCACTCACACATACCATGCAAGTCTGTGGGAAAAACTTACGACTGAAGCTAAGGGACTCAAGTAAAGTTTTCTGAAAATAACCCAGAGCTGACAAGTCAGTAGGAGGGCCTGGATGGTTTCAAGACACAGTTTTTAACCGAGACTTGGACCTCCAAGATTTTTTGCACCCTCCTCCCACCATTTTTTTTTTTTACTCTTTAAAAAAAAAAAAGAAACAAAAACCCAAAGATTTACATCCTATCCTTGGCTAAATTACTTATAAATTAATCAAATTAATTACTGAGTGGATAAGCAAGACACTGGACAAGACAGAATGAATGTCAGCCAGCCAATATGGTCTATGTTGTTTTAAACAAATGCATCAGTGCTAGTTTTTCAGATGTCTAGGGCACAAACATTAAAAGGTTTAAAACCAGTGTTTTTCCTACAACAGTGCATAATGTATGCATGTATATTTTGAGATTTTTGTTTTCTACATTATAGCGGAGATGTCAACTGATGAAAATGACATTTCTCCCAGCTTTTATTTTTCTTTTGTTACACTGTTTCTTGCAGTTAGGTACTGAATTTAACAACTAAGATCTCTGTAAAGAGATATTACGCAATTTTGTGTAAATGGTTTCATTCCTCTCAGAAGTAATGCTCACATGCATAAAAGTTATGGAAGTCTCGTTCATGTAGCATTGAGATCTCCCAGTCAGCAAACTCTGAAAGAGTCTGGAAATGGTTAAGTCTACCTGGGTGATTACACAGCTAACTTTTTGATATTTTTCTCTTCCTAAACCTGAACAGCATATAATAATACAGACTTGCAATGAGTAACAGGGAGGGAGGAAAAATAAGCTGGGTGAAGTCTATTTTCACTCAGCTATACAAACTTTGTTAAAATTCAACTAGCTTCTGTATTTTGTTAAGCACAGGTAAGCTTGACATATGTGTGTTCTCATGCATTTTAGATCTTTTTCTGATTACCACTGGCCCTGTGTTTAGCATTCAAAATCCTGATGTGGAGAAGTTTAGAGTATTTTCTATTAATGGTTCCATACTTTCCTAAGTTATGTACTGCACAGCTCATATTCTGCAAAATATAAAACCATCACAGATGTGTGCTAAGAACTAGTTCCAAAGTAAAAGGAAACTTTTTAATTAAGGAAACATTGACTTTTATGGTTGCAAATCAGAGGAGCATTTCACTGAATGCTTAGCCTGTAGATTATGCTGCTTTAATTCACAAATTGACTGTACTAGGTCACCTTTGAGTAATGGAAATCTCTGTTTAAACATTTTTTTGGCAATGGGCACAAAGCATTAGATCGCATTTCCAAGACTTACCAGCTGGGTTTTGTCATTAACATTTATTAACAATCTAAGATACGGCTTTCAACGTCTAATCCTCACTACACAAATGTTTTGTATAGTTCTCTAGAGAGCTTTGGTGTGACAAATTACTGGCACAGCTTACAGCCCTGTGGCTATTCACCAGGGGCAATACAAAATTAACATCGTACTAATCCAACTTAAACAAGAAATTGGTCGAACAATTGCACAAATCATCTGAACTAAAGCAAATCTAGAATTCATGAAGCAACAGTTTCCAAATTTGTTTAAAACACAGTAAATGGGTTTTGATCATTTCTGCTTCAAATTTAATTTGCTCTTTGAAGTCACTTAAATCCTTTATCAATAGACTAAGTGTAAGATCAAGCACAGGAGTATAAAAACCAGAAGAAACTACTTTGAAAGGGTTTGTTCTGTAGTAGAAAAGTTTTAGGTAGTGTAATTCACTGTACATGACAACTTATTTTATGGTTCGGACTTTCAGCTAAAGGGTCACCTGAAACATTCTAATATATTACTAAATTCAGATTGCCAGGTCTGCAGTGATGAAATCTATAATAAATAAAAACCTGATATGGATATACACCAGTGTTACTCTGGCAAGCAGCATTTTTTTCTTTTATCCTATAGGAATTTTTGAATATGGCAGTAAAAAACACAGTCTGGGCATTTCATGGATGCAGAAAATAAAAAAAATCTTAATCAGGACATAAGATTTATATTTTTCTTTCTATCATCTCGTCAAGCATGGATGCTTCAGAAACTGAGGATGAGAATTCATGACTCCTTTTATAACTAGGCAAAAAAGGACCAACTTGAAGACAGCAAATAAAGATGAGGTTTTAATCAGTGATTATACAACACGTTCACTTTCTTCAAAGAGAAATATAGATTATAAAAGGTAATTATCAAATAGAAGAGTATGAGCTTAGAGTCTTACTATTCAAAAACTGAACAGCAGCAGGAATAAGGTAGGAACTATAATCCTTTAAAAAAAAAAACAACAAAAAAGGAAACAACCCAAACAACAAAAACAACCAAAAAAACCACCAAACCCCACACAAAATCAACAACAACAAACAAACAAAACAAGCAAACCCCGACAAAACCCCAAAACCCAAACCAAAACAACCAACATTTCCTAAAGCAGAAGGTAGGTGTGAATAAAGGTTACAAAGACCTTTTCCTAAAACTTGATTTCTGAAGCTTTATGCCTGTGTCAAGGTTTGTTCATCAACTGGGATTAATGATTTACTAATTTGTTTGTCAAGGCCAAGGAAAATGCTTGCCATTCTTACACATACTGTTTAGCTAATGTTTACTACAATTCATGAAAGACAGGCAATGACAAAAAAAAAAAAAACCAAAACCTAGAGGTACATGGATTCAGTGAGGATGAAGTTGCTATTCCTGGTTTGAGCTGAGTCTTTCAAGTCATATGTATACAGATACCCAAGCTCTGTTAAAACACAGCAGCAAAAGGCATGCCACATTAGTATGAGATTAGAATTTCCAAAAGCAGGAGGAAGCTTCACTTCCAGTTTCATTTTGCAGTATTCAGTAAGCCTTGAACCATTGTTTCTAAAAGCTTTGTTTCCCATCTTTAGTCTTTATTCATTTTACTGACGAAGATGGTTGGGACATGCTTGCTTTTTAGCTATGAGAACCTTCTTTGCAGGTCTGAGGCTTGATCTTCCCTGAGTACAACGTCAAACTAGAATCAATTTTTCTGTTCTCATTTTTGTAGAAAAGTGTAGCTCAGAATTTTGATTTCGTAAAGACAAACACTAATAAAATGAAAACCGCCAGGAGTTACCAGTAATTATAAGTTGCTTCAAATACTACATTTTGCAGTTGTCTCGCATTACAACCTTGGTAATTAACTTGGTTGTCTCATACAACAAAAGAAAACCTGCATACCTGTTTTAACCTCGCAAGTTCTTTCAAAGCCCTTGTCCATTGTTGTTTGTAGTGGAGCTTTGACTTCGTAGCTGACTCTAACTTTCTTTCAAGTTCAACCTAAAAGCAATTAAAGTCATACCAGCTGAAGCAATAACAGCAGTAACAATCACTGAAAGATGTATATATACAAAAGGTCTGGCTTAAGAAAAGTGTTTATGTAGTGCAACATACAACATCTTCAAAAGCTGTTATACAATATAACATAAATATTATGGCACACGAACATTTTCTTGTTTAAAATATAGCCTTATTTTTATTGGATAGCTGTCTATAGAAGAAAAAAAATCGTTTTTAGCACTAAATCTGCTGATGTAAATTTTAAGTCTCTCAATTTAGCAAACCCTCTTTTTTAAGCTAAGATTATTAACACTAATTTAGCAGAAACATTGATCAATAAATCTTGCCTTTAAAAGGTGTGTAGTTGTTCTTTTCTTTCCTGCAGCTGATGGAAGATATTTATTACATTCTTTTCTTTGAAACAGATATCTGTGTAAATTGTTCTTTACAATCTATGCATCTGGTGTGAATCTTTGATCTCACTATCTAAATAAATCTTTAAAAAATGTTAAACACTAAAAAAAACCAAACCCCAATGCATTCAGTGAAAAAAACAACAAAAACCCCCCTCGTATTAAAGCAAACAAAACCAGTTATGAAGCACACAAAACAGTAACCTGAAGAATGAACCATTTTTAATTAACCCTGAGGCATGATATTTTCTTTTAATCAGAAAAAAATTATTCACCATTAAATTTGTGAAGAACTTACAGCTTAACTTTTTTCTTAAAACTGACAAAAGTAGGGAATCTAAAAATATTTAAGCTGATTATTTAAAAGGTCTATGGAGACAAATAGATTCTGAATCATTTGCCTGCACTATTAGAAGTTATTCAAGCATACAGTAACAGACAGACTGTCCATATAACAAAGTGCATTTTGTGCAAAGAACCGTGGTGCGACTTTTTTTCCTGTTTATTCAGTCAACAATTTTACTCAAACTTCACAATAATTCTGAGCAGAAAAAAACCTGTGATTCTAATTAAGCAAATATCATCTACTAAAGGCTTATGATAGTGAGTCCATTCCACTGGTAGCTAACAAGCTTTTCAGAAATACTAAAAAAAACAATGTATGTAATGGAATACCAGTCTAAATTAAGCCTCACAAGAAAATCTTCATTTTTATTTAGTTTTACAAACAGAGTACTTGGAGTCCCCAGCATAAATCATGATAGCAGCAATTTAAATATTTAGGTTAGGTTTTTTTCTGCCTTAACCTCTCTCTCTACTACTTCCTGTATAGAAATAAGGTCACTGTTGGCCTTATTTGTGTCTGAATACTTAAAGTCTGAAGAAATCGTTTGAAAAAATAAACCAAAATTGACAAATTAACCGTTGTATCATGCAAGATTTTTTAACATGGCCCATTGTGACAGTTTTAAAGACTAGAAAAATCAAAAATACCTTTTCTAAAGCGAGAAGATTTATTTCCGACTGTAGCTTAATTTCTGGTTTGCTACTTTGCTGTTCTTTGTATTGTTGGAACTCCTTCTCCAGAATTTTATGCTTATTTTCTGCTTCATTGAGCTACATTAAAGATACCAAGACGTAAAGCAAGTTAGCAGAAAAACCCACTCACAAAGTATTAGGTTACAGAACTTAGTTACTCATTAGTCCCTCGAACAAACATCTTGTTGTCAATTATCTGATATAAAACAGACAGGGAAAGCTATACATTCACAATTAATGCTTTCATGATGAAGGCATATAGCAATGGGAAGAATTTTAAAAGAGGATCTTTGCTCACTACCGGGAAGTAGATCAAGAAGATACAGAAGATCAAGATTTATAAATGTGACTGTTCACATTTATGTAACATCTTGCTGAAGAAATAACAGAAAGCCTAACTACTCAGATTTACACACATCTCTTAAAGAAATCTAGCAGTTAAGTTATCCACTATATGAAGTTTTATTACTCATTCAATTTCCCCAGCACAACTTTTTTAGGAAAGTCTGGAAGAGGAAATAACTATTACTTTGTACAGCCAAATGATTTAGAAGAAAGGATAAAGTAGAAAGACTTCAGTGACTAATTACTTAATGCTATGTACCTCTGCCCTCACTGTGTACTTCCACAGTTTCATGAAGATTCTATAAAGAGAGTGGTTTGCTCTTCATCTTAAAATGGTTAACTTGATAAATGATGCCAAACCACAATAATTTTGCTAAAAAGAAATAAAGCAAATCAAATGTTTAACAGCTTTTTTCACTATACCATATTAAAACATGGTATAAATGTTTTATGTTTAAGAGTAGCTTACATTCTTCTTCTGTTAAATCTTATTCAACTATGAATACCTTAAAACAGCCAATGGAAGTGGTGCATTGCATCACAGAATATGGTCCCATATGCTGCCTTTGTATTTATGTTCAAGTAAGTTAATTCAAGTATTTCCATGAACTGTATTTTCAACAACTTAGAATACTGAGCAAAAATGTTTCAGAGAATTCATTTCTGTTTCAAAGCCTACTTCCATTAGCACATAAATATTTTGATTCTTTGGATCTCCTTATTAGGGCACTTCTTTTTTTTCTTCCAAAGTTTCACCTTTTGCATTTCTTATTCTTACAGAATTGATGTAAGAAAGATGCCTCCTAAAGAGAAATATAAAAATGTATGCCACAGAAGTTACTTTACATATACAACCACAATAGCCAGCTTTAAAAGTATATTGTTCTTTGCCATCTTTCCATTTTTACCTATTGCTTTTTAAAAGCAAATACACAGACATGATGCCAAACACAAAGACAGTAACTAATTTTTTTAGCTATGAAAAATGCTGGCTTTCCCTAGAGTTTCTACCATAATGTTTAATTTCTTGTTTGGTTCTGAAAACACTCAAAAATTATATTTCTTATGAGACCTCAGGTTCCTCTCCATTAGGGAACTGCACAAATCACACAAGGAACAACTTCCTTATTCAGGAAGTAACAGCAATGTTCAAGGTGGATGCCTTAAGGGTCTCCTCCTGCATAGTAGAGTACTATGCATATTACTTCAAAATAAGTTAGACACTTAAGGAACTCTACAATTCATGTGTGAAAACTGTGTACTGACACAACTCCTTATACTGAAGCATGAAAGTGATTCAAAATAACAGGAACAGCACAGAGGAAGACAAACATGATGATCAGCTGGAAGGAATGATCTTCATACAAAGCAAAACACAGTGGGATCTGTGTTTGGAAGAAGAAACAGCATGACAGGCACCCAAGTAATCAGGAACAGTGTGTAGCACAAGCACTAAATGATTCTTAAGCAATGAGATTAAAATGAACAAAAATAAGTTTTTAAATATACAACACAACTAAATTTTAGAACTCTCTGCCACAGGATGTTGCAATGCTAAAAACAGAAATACTTTTTAAGATTGCATGAGTTCAGGAAGAATGCTTTCACTGATGGCTCGTAAATATGAAATGCTGCCACTGGCTGAAGGCATATGTAACTCTTGATGGTATTGCTGATATACCAAAACTCTATTTTCCCATTGTCCAATTTCTTATTTTCTTGCTCTCTAAATGTTATCATTGCTGCAACAGAGTGTTGAGCTAACTACATCTTTGGTCTGATACAGTATGTCTGTTTTGAATAGGAAAATATAAAGTGATTGTGACTGTATTGCAACCTAGCTAAAACCAATAGGAGTCAAAAGAATGAATTTGGAAGATGACTCATAGGTGGTGACAATTGGCCGCTTCAGCCTGAAGAACTATCAGCGATGTACCTTGCCTGGACTGATACAGCATTGATAGCTGTCAACAACACATCTATGATGCAGAAGTGATCAACTTATTACTTTGAAGAGGACTACATTTTGCAGTTTGAAACTGCTCATCTCAGTTCAGTGATTGCCCAGTAGCATAGTCAAGACTAGCAGCCTATATATCAGCAACATTTTTGTATTAGCTGTATTTTAAATAGTTCATTATACGGTGGTTAACATACACTGACATGAATAGTAGTAAGTTAGTATTCGTGTTTAATAAAAAAAAAAACACAAAGAAAAAACAAACCAAAACCAAACAAAAAACCCAAACCCAATGAAAAACCTCACAAAACCCCAGCACAACTCTTTCTAATACAAAAATATGCCTTCGGCCGATACAGTTCTTCAGCTACTCACAGGTGTTTGTGGGATTATCACTCATGTATCAGAAATGAAAGATCACCAAAGCAAGTAATTAATTTACATAAATTAAGTACTTTGAAAAACAGTTGTGCATTACTAAAACTTAATTTACTTAACAACATAATGTCTAATATTAAAACTGCTCAAAAAAACCTGTACTGACTTTTAAAATTTTACAGTATGCTTTAACAGGCAAGAAAATCAGTTAGACTAGCCTCGTAGTTAGTGTAAAAGCTAGTTTACAGGACAAAAGAATGTGGTCTGAAGTTCCCCAGTTTCATTAAACTACTACTTTCAGAACAGAAGATCATAACAACAATATAATTCCCACACACACCCCACCCCACTAAGGGTAATAGAAACAATTCCTTTGCAATGGAACAATAAAACAAACTCCAAAGTCAAGATACCTACATGTTTTGCTATATGCTAATTGCTAACAATGTACTCAGTTACTGAAATGTAGAACCTGAACAGCAGTATACATGTAATGTACGCTTGTAATTGCTGCTTTATTTTCAGTGTTATAAAAAAAATTATAACCACTGCATAGCAAACTGAGCAAGACTGACAGATATGGATCCCAGTACACAGCTCACCAGACAAAATATTTATAACAAAGCTGCCAGAAACACTTGCCCCAAACCCATTGCTCAACTTAGTATGCTTATTTTAAAAAAATGCTTATTTAAATACGTAAATGTTAAGGCAGAAATTCAAGTGTACTTACCTGCTGCTGTAAGCGAAGCTTGTCTTCTTCCAGCTGTTTGATTTTTGACCTTTCTAGCTCAACCTGGTGTGCACATTCTACTCTGGCTCGCCGCACAGAATCCTGTAGCTCCTGCAGCTTTCGTTCATGCTCTGCTTGCAAGTCTTTCTTTACTGTTTGAAGCTTAAAAGTGAGATATATTTTTATTAACCCATACTTGCATGAGCTTTATATTAAGAGCCTCTTACAACTGTTACTACTATTCATGCCAAAAATTGCTGTCCTTTTTAGAAATTAAACAACAGAAATTCCATTGTTATCTATATCTATTGTTTGCTATATATTCTTTTATTAGCTTTCAGTTTAACTAATGACCTGCAAATTACAATATATTCTTGCTTGACTATTGTAAAATGGAGCTATCTGTACCTCTACTGTACTGTCTACACAGGATTGCTAAAGGCAAGTTATATATCCATCTTTCTACTACAAACTAAAAAGCTAAAAAGCTACACCTTCATTGCAGAAGTGATAAAGTCACAACTACAACCAAGATGACTTTAGGTCACTGCACTATTCAAACTGAGTGTACTGAGAGAATTCTTCACTGAGCTAAACAGGAAAACAGTCCTTGACATGTCTGAACTTTCTAGAAAAATGTTACTGTCCCAGATAATTGCTAGCTGATTAGAAAACTCTCCAAAAGATCCACTTTTCAAACTGTATAATTGCTGAATGAACCCTACATCATATTGCCTAGACATTCTTGGAATCCACTGATTTTTATTATCTCTAAACCCTCAGGTCAGAATTTTGCTAAATTTAAAACAAGTTTTGAGATAAACACATATGAGACTCAAAATAAATACTTTTACTCAGACTGAACTGCATTCAGCCAAACCTAATCACCAGATTTTTTGCATAGATGTTAAAGGAAATTAAGACACCATTTTACAGCAAAACTGCACCTTGAGGGGTACAGGAAACCTGAGTACTGAACATGACAAAGGCTCAACAAGCCAGTCCATGTGTTGGGAGCTTTCTTAACTTGTTCACAAGCACGGGAGGGATAGATATATCAAAAGATTAATCTGGGCTAAAGTAGGAGAAGATTTGTTGGACTGCTAAATCACAGCAGTTTATTAATAGAACTGTGAGTTTGTTATGAAGTACAAAACCAGACAGTTTTGTTTTCCTTCCTTCCTCCCTCCCTCCCTCCCTCCCTCCCTCCCTCCCTCCCTCCCTCCCTCCCTTCCTTCCTCTCTCTTTATTTCTCTTTTCCTCTCTTCATACAACTAGTTTCCCTGGGTACTTGCACCCCATTTCCACATTTTGGGGAAGTTCAGTGAGATCTAGAAACAATGGTTTCCCACATCTTCTTTGGCCCTTCACTACAAAAAAAGTAGTATAAAATAGGAACTCTATCAAACTGCTGGGTAATAAAACCTGGGCAATGTCAGTTTCTCCCAGGTCTCCTTGTCACCTTCTATTTCAATGGTTAATTTAGCAAAAACTATTTGAAGTAAAGAACTCTTGTACGCATGTACAATGTTCACCTGACAGTACTAAACTTAAAATTGAGAGATGGTAACATTATGTGTCTCCATTGACACTCTAAGTCTGTTAAGTGGAGAAAATTTACAGTTCTGTAATTCCAGCAACCCATTTAAATTCACTGAATTGCCATTTCAGTAAAAAAGTACAGTTGTAATAAAACTTGGCTTAAATTATTAGTGCTCCTATGTGTATTGGTATGAATGTGTCTCAGTTCTTATACACAGGTCACAACTGTCAATATGAAAATTCAATAAAACTTTCAAAAATAGCTCATGCAAATGCATTTTTTAAAATGCCAAAACACTTTTTACCTCCGATTCAGCACTAAAAAGCTGCCGTTCTCGCTTGTCTAGATCTCTCAAGGTTTTCTGAAGTTGTTCTTCCAAACCAGTATATTCTGCTACCTAAAGGAAAAACAAACAAAAAAAAGTGTTTTTTTCCTTGTGATATAAATAATGGTTTAGGCAGGCAAATATTTACTCTTGCTACAGTATAAAATGTTAACAATTTGTTTACAGATTTACATGGCCTTTAATGAAAAAAATCACAATGGAGAGCATTTATACAATAAAGGTTAACCAGTTTCCATGCACAGCTGGGTTTAGAAGTGCTTTTTGATCACACAAGTGAAAGACAAAGTTAAAAAGCCCCCAGTGAAAGCAAGCTAACTTAAAGGCATAAAACGACAAGTATGATAAAGGGCTACTTGCAATTTTTTGCACTGTTGTTGACTAGATGCAAGCATACCAGCAGGTGTGAAGAGTAATCACAGACCCTTTGTTCTATGTTATAGTTACGGAGCATCTTGTTAAATTTTATATTTATATTTAAATATTTATATATAGATATATATATATATCTATATAGATACATACAGATATTTATATATAGATATTTATAATGAGACATTCAGCAAGTATGAGTTTCCTTACCTTCTTCTTCACTAAAGCTTGTCTCTCTCTCTCTCTTTTCTTCCATTCTTCTGCAAGTACTTGCATATGGACCATTTCCTTCTTCTTAAGCTAAAAAAAAAGAAAAAAAAAAGAGAGGGAGAACAAAACCCAAACCCATAAAACCAAATCAGAACTGTTGGATGTACAACTTTAAAGGAAAGAGTACTAGCAGAACTAAGCCTTGAAACAGAACAATTAAAAACAAAGTTTTGTACACTTACTTATGTAACAAGGTATGATTTTGATAAAGGTAAGATATTTTTAACTTAAAGTTCAGATATATCTTTCACTAAGTAAAAGCCCAAGTTCAAGAAAAATACCAAAAAATAGACACTAGATTCTCAGTATCTTTTAAAAAGAAGCATGTGCCTCTAAAAACACCTAGAATGAATACAGGAGTAGAAATGCAGCAATGGATTTAGACTGAGAATAAAGAAATGCAGCATTAATATCTAACACCAGTAATTTGAATCTGGAGTATCTACTGTAATTCATAAGGAGTAAGGGGAAAATGTGAAGGGTGTTCTGCATTTTACTGCATAGTACCTACTTCAATTACTTACACAGAAGAGAATTAACCTTCTGCATTAAAAGTATGGAACGTATTTGTGTACGTCCGAAGTTTTAATATTCTGCATGAACAAAAGTTAATTCTTATTTGAAACAGTGGCAAAGTTTAAGAAATATTCCTCTCATCAATTCTGTTAAAGCTTCTCTGGCAGTCAAGAAGTTTAGAAAATAAAGAATAAAAACCTGATTTTCAAAAATGTCCTCTTGCATTTCCTTCCACATTTCCAACTCTAGTGCAGCTTTGTATTCAAGAGTTTCTCGAGGTTCTGGAGGATTTTCTTGGGCACAGCAAGGCTGAATGTGAGGGACATGCCATTGCTGACCAGCACCTACACACTGACAGAGTAACATTGGATTTTTAACTGAAAACCCAACTTCTCAAAGGAGCATACAAGGGGGAAAAAAGATTTATGTAAAATTTACTTGAGAAGAATCTGACACCAGAACTTCTTGCATGCTCACAAGCCCGTGGTCTTCCAAAGTGATAGCATATGAAAGGTCTGCTATTCTGCTGCCTGACCTATAAATAGCATTAGAGTATTAATAAAAACTGTCTTAAAAATACAGAAAATGAATTACAAGACAACACACAAACCCAAAAAGCTGAAGTGCTAATAAGTTCCATGTAAGCTGAGAGACTCTAAATGTTTGCCTATGCGACAGCACAAACATGCTCTCCCATGTATACTGTTTTAACTCGAGGACTAATTTATACATCTTCAGTAAGCTTTCTGACTTCAACAGATAACTTCTCATTGGAAACGTATTTAACTAACAGCTTACTATAAATGCTGATTATGTTGATTGCATCCCTGCAACAGGCGAATGATGCTAAACTGTACCTGTAGTCTTAAGTCTAACAAATATACCTGTTGAATACAGGCATTGAGCTTTGTTCAAGACATTCAATGAATTCTTAAAATGTTATCAGTAACTTCCTGTTATCCACAGTACAATAAGTCATTTAGCATATTACATGTGGTAAGCCATCCTCAGACTTACTATAAAGCTCATTTCTGAAAGCTTCAGCACACAGAACTGACAACTTTGAATACACTTATAGGTTAAGTACTACCTGCTCCTGCACAGTGAAAAAATGTCTAGATAACAGATATTTTTAATAAACTAATTTCAAATTAGTCACAGTTTCTGCTTAAGTAGAACAGTTTGTCTCTGGCTGCCTCACTGCTAATCGCTGACAAAATGTAGTAACCAAAGGTATTTTTCTGCACAGAATTATACTAAGAAATACGCACAAATCATGTAACTGAAAGTTATCACTAGTCTAACATGAAAGCACACTGCAGTGCAGACCTGTACTTGGTCAGAAGCAAAAATATCATTTCAGTTATAACTATGCAATGATGCAAAGGCAATTACACAGCCACCTAAATGGCAGAAGCTGCAACATTACTTATCAAGCAATTTGTAACAAGGCTGCACGAATTAACCATGGCTGTAGTTTTCACATAAATTCCCTTCCAGCAAATACAGAAAAACAATACTAAAATATTTTTACAAAAATGCAGTCTTCTACACAGCTATTTGCAAGGGAAAAAACCCACCAGAAACATTTGTATTTCATGTAATTTAACAAAAATTACTGCATCAGATTCTTACAACTTTCTGTTACTGTTTAAAAAAGAAAAGAAGATTCAACTTAGTGGATCTTGCAAATCTGAGTAATAGAGTCAGTTTAATATGTCAGTATAAAAAGAAGAATACACCAACAAGAGCAAAGCTAGCAGTGTACCAGCACAACAAAATGCAGACCTGATGACATTCTGAGAATGCCATCTAGTGGTTATTAAGTTTTGTGCAAAACCAGATTTCATTTCAGCAAACTTTTTCATGAAAGCGTAAGCCTTCATATACAGTGAGATCATAAAGTAACTCTTCACAGAATCAGGGCATGCTGGCTTTCACACAGAAATGTTAAAACAAAATTAGATATCAATTTTTTACCAGTTGGGAGGGAGATGGCATATGAGTCTCTGCGTCAATAACCCGAAGTTTCCTGCGCATCAAGTATGTTTAATTATCTGAAGGATTAGAGGTTTAAACCCAACCTCAGTCTTAACAGCAATTACATTTATTTCTAAAGGCATAATCAAGGTCCATTACCACAGAAAAAGATTAGGTTTAGACACTGATTACTAGCACACTTTATACCTCCAATAAGGACATGGGAGAGAAGTAACTATCAGTAAGATTCTTCAGATACACAAAAAGGATCAACACTCCTCTAGGTAAATGAACATTTATCTTCAGATAAAACATTAATAAATAGCACTGCTCCTTCTGATGTACACAGGCTCAAGCCCCTGCTGCTATCACAGAGTATAACCCTGCAACAGAAAACCTCTTCTACTCTATGAATATACCTGTTTTTCTAACTTTCACTGAAGTCAGTAGCATCAGTAGCATCTAAAAGAAACTATGGATAATTAGCCTTAACTATTTTCTGGGATATCAGCAGTATTTTGCAATTGTTAAGTATTTAATTTCCTCAGGAAGGTGCCTCAATAACGTTTTTTCCAACTATTTTTTTTTTAATCTGTAAATCTGACAGAAGATCATGATTGTATAAAGGTCTATTATGATGACTGTGGTAGTGGTTTGGGGTAGCACAATATGCCTGTGGCAATTTAACTTTTAATCACTTGGACGCCTGCTCCCACCCTGCACCCTATAATGCAGTTTACTCATATTCAAGTAAACACTAAGCAAACAGTTCTTCAAAACCTGCTACAGAGTAAGTAGGGTTTCTTAAATAGTTATACCCTTGTGCTGCTGTGACACTGACTGTTTCATTATAAGTCTGACGCCAGCACTGTTCACCATTACCACCCAAGAACCGGGTTTTTTCTGAAGCCAAAACATTCGAAAGCTGAAGCTTCGCCATCCCTAGAAGTAAGTCTTTAGCTGTTTTATCCTTGTGCCACAACTCGACCAACAGAGGTAATCTGAAACACAGAAATGATTCTTAGTGTCAGGCATCAACACAAAAGAGGAAACATTCCTATTAACTTAGGAAAAGGACTTCATGTTCTAAAAGTTATTTACCAAATCAGTGATGGTCCAGTTGTCAAGAAAAAAAAAAAAAAAGAGATGGATTTACTGCCCCTCATTCAGAGGAAAAAATGACTGACTTTATCTTCTCTGTCACTTACTTTCATCAATTTATTATTTCTTTTTCCAATTTTCAGAAGAGACAATGATACAGTGAAAGCAATTGGCTGAATAATCTTAACAGATCTAGATCATCTTCATTTATAAATATATTTCACTCACTGCCACTCAGAATACATCTCCTCCACCTCTTCTTTCAAAATACCACTAATTCGATGATTCTTTATTCTACATCTTAATCAGTGATCAAAAGCTGGTAGGACTACTGGGAAAATGATACCACAGCCCTCAACAATGTACTCAGCTTCCTGGGTACCTGCTGTATTTTCAGGAACATTGGATATTCATCATGCATTAAAAACAAAAATTAAAAAAACTTACCTATTCTATTTGAAGCAACACTTTGTTAAAACTACACTATCAGTGTTTAATTTAACAACTTACAGCACTTGTTTCTGTAAGCAATGATCCCTGCATAAGTACTCCAGATAAATGCAAGAATTTTAGTCCCTGACTTTAACTGTAAGTAACTGAGAAACTGGAAGAGCAACACATTAAAATATTCACCTGCATTAACACTTGGATTCCTTACTAAATTCCCAAATTTATGATCCTAAGTAAAACACTTGAACATGAATGTATTTACAAAAAAAAAATAGGCTAAGCATGATTAAAATAAAAAGAAACTAAGTTATCACCTCAAGAACGTATCTTGAAGCTGATGAGGTATAGTTGCAAAATCAAAAGCACAGTAGGATTGTGGAAGAAAGACTTCCATGTTTTTTCTAACTTCTACAGGTGGGCTTGTCATAATAGGCGCTGCACTGCCAAAAAATGGATATGAGTACCTAATAAAAACAATAACAAAGATAATGAAATAATAATTTATTTTTTTAATACTTTCTGCAACAAGAAAACCAATTTAGACATTTTACTAAAGCTCAACTTGTACAAAAGTTAGCAAAATTTACACAAATTTGTAACAACCAAATTTGGTCTTCAAATTTGGGTTTCATTTACTTCAGCACTGATCCAGCTTCATCTATATTCATTGTTATTTTGACAAAAAAAAGAGCTTTAATAACCTGTTTGTTCATAACCATGTGAATTAATCTACTAAAATTCTGCAATTACTATATAAAGTGAGCAGAGAAAAATAAAGGAATATTATTTTCAGGTGTAGATTACTACTTAAAAGATCTGCAACTGTATTTACAATTAAGACTGGTTTAACACGCAGTAACTGATAACTGAGTATACACACACACACACAGTTTCAGAGCCATTTGAAAATTTCAGTAACATTTGAGGAATTAAGGTTTTAATTCTCAGTTTAAATCACTGAGGAAAGTCAAATCATTTTACGAATATTATTTACAATGTGGCCTGCAACTATTTAGTCTATGATAAACTATTATGATAAAAGGGAGGCCAGGAACCTCTCAAACTTCACTTTGGTCAAATTGATCATGCTGTCAGCCAAGTTACAAAAAAAAAAATAAATGCTGCATCAAATGCTGCCACCTATAAAATTCCACACTTCAGCTGTTTGTGCAGAACTGTTTAAAGAGCTAGTTTAGACCTGAATGAAATAATGCTCCCAATATCCTGCAAAAATGTGGCTATTCACCCTGCAACTTTTCTTAGCATTTACACGTTTGGATGTTTCTCCTCTTTAGCTTCCTGCCATGTTCACCACTGACTGTAAAAATTAAAGTGCATGAAACAGTAGAATTTATTTGCTGTCACTCTTCTGAAACAAATCATTTTAATGTTATGTGACAAAATTCCATCTATTGTATGTAGTTTTACACATACTATTTAATAATATAGCCTATACATAAAACCATTAATGATGTTTTTAACCATTAAGATAGTTGTTTTAAAATAGTACAACCCAACCTCACCATTTCACCCCAATTCAAACAAAACTTCAAGAATCATAAACATTAACAAATTTCCCAATAAACAGTTAAAACTGTATTGAACCAAACTCTTGTCAGAACAACAGATGCAAACATATATGCATAGCCAGAAACTCAACACTGTCGAACTGAATCACCACTTATAGGTATGCTTCATCATGTGCACCAAAAGGGTCCAAATGGAAACTAGAAGGCAAACTGTAAAAACTGTTATGAGCCACTGAATTCACAGATGCCACCGATACACTAATATTCCATGAGTAGGAATTTATTTATTTATTTATTAAGCTACAAACCCATACCTATATCTACAAACTCCTTACCTTAAACTCTAAGTTTACAGTTGGTAAAAGAAAGTTTCTATCTTTTCTAGCAATGTTAATGGCTAGAATTATTTCTAGCAATGTTAATAAACCAAACAAACCCCACCTGCATATAGATACCAGGTTCAATACCCTTACTTTTAATTAGTTCATCTTTTTAGTTCTTATTCGTCCAACTTTGCACCCACCTCCCAGCTACCGTCTGCTTATTCTCCAAAAGTGCTCCCATACTTTCATTTCATGTTGACATCAGTAACAAATTAGTCTAAGCATTTGTTCAAAACCAGCACTGGTAGTTTTCTACTTTTGCTTCAGTCACAAACCTCATGTATCCAAAAAGCTTGTCTTTTTTTGTAACCTCACAAATGAATGCAACAAAGATGCTACTTCTTGCTACTACGATTTGCTTCTTCTACTCAAAGACCCCCAATACTGCATCTCAGAATGATAATGTATCTATTTCACTGGTTCTTCACTTTAAGATTAGAATGCTCTTCCTTTAGATTCACTGTCACACACAAAACAGGTGATCTGTCTCTTACTTCAAGGAGTTCTTGGTGGAGCTATGGAAAGCTACTGAAATTACTCCCTCAGCCACCTGGAAAGGCAGCCAGAAAGTAAAGAGACAACTAATGATTTTTTTCCTCTAAGGACTGATTGATGATCTGTATTGTCTGAGCTCAGATATTCAAGTGAGATTTAATGCAAACTACAGTGCAGGTGAAGTGTTACATACTATCTTTAATGCTGTAATGCTCACAAGTTTAGTGATGAGTCAGATGACCATTCCAAGGAATCTGATACTGAAAATCAGCTACCTAAAGGTGAAAGATATCAGGCAGCATACTCCAGCAATCATTCAGATTATGAAGGCTTTGTATTGAAAAATAAAACAAAAATACTGCTATTAAACAGAATAAGATCAACAAAAATAAATTATACCTTAAAATGCAATTTATTGGAAAACCAACTTCCAAACCACGTATACTTCGCAGATCTATTGAAAAGCAAAAATGGTGAGAGGCTGCAGGAATAACAATTTTCTGTGCTGAAGGCTCAGAAGAACTGGATGCACCCACAGGGACAGGCTGAGATGCAGCTACTGGACCATTATCAGCTGAAAACACAGAGGAGAATTTGTGTGTATTTTTAATTATTTCTTCTGATCAAAATAACAATGTATTAAAGCTAGGTCTCATATTTTAAATGCAAGTACAGATAGGTTGCTTTTCCAACAGATTTCAATTCTTTGCAATATAAGCTAATATTATGAAAAACAGCCACTCTATTTGTAAGTTACTGTTTCCAAAGAAAAAAAAAAAACAAAAAAAAACAAAACCCCAATATATTTTAAATCTTCTGAAAAGATTCCATAGTATTTTTCCTTGTTTTAATTTTTAAAGCTATGCAAGTCTATCTCACTGAAGTTTAGAGTAATATCCAACACATTAAATTCTTCAGGATGCTACAAGATTCTGGTTTTCACCATTTTACATAATTGCTCCCAGCCAACTTGAGGGCATGCAGAAGAAGTGGGCTTATTAAAAAAATTATTTGTTTTAATTTAGTTTGCTTTGGATTAATTTGCTTTAGTTTAGGACTGAAAAAGAGAATTAGGTCAATTAGCAGTGATCATGTAAGGCAGAATCAACTGTGGTTCCCACGCTTAGGTTTAACTACTGAAATAAACTAATGTTCTAGCTTGGTCTGTAAAGCATATCTGCTTATGCCCTTTGAAAAGAACGCACCCTCAGTGACATCTATTTTATAATTTAGGAAGTAGAAGCTACGGTTAGTGACTGTATGATTGCATCCAGGCTTCTCAAGTCCTTACAGTGGCACCTGATACTGCTTTCAAAGGGTAAAAGGCCAAACTACAAGTTTTACAAAGAGTCACCAAAGGTATCCTCCAAAAATGTTTCAATTAGTAAAGCAGAGAAAGAAAGGAAAAATGTGTTAGAGCTCAGCTGCCTTTTGTTAAGTGCTAGTTGTTCTATGAGTCTTTCTTCATAATTATTTAAAATGTTTCCATTTTTGCCATTTTAAAAGAAATACATAATTCCTAGAATTGACTTTATTTTTTCCCTGCATGTTTATTTGCATTAGCAGTAACAATACAAAAAAGGATTCAACATCAGCTAGTTAGCACAACATAGGAATAAAATAACTTTCAGTGATTTAGGTAGTGTCACTGAAGTGCTTGGCATAATGATACAGCTGAACAGGTGTTCAAAGTTGCCATATGACAACATACATAGGCTGCATACAAAAATTTATTTAAGTTGCTACTATATTAAAATTTCCTTCTATGTACTAAATGCAATAGATTTTCCATTACCAGGATTTTGCAGATCTGATGACAGAGGTGACTTTGGTCTGTTCTGTGATTTGAAAACTGGAAGCTCTTCAGTACGCTGTTTGTTAACCACTTGACAGGACTCAGCCACCAGCCCTGAAAGATAAATGTGAAATTACATGTTTTACACCTTACCAAAACAGACAGTTATAAAACGATAGCTATTCATAAAAAAGCACAATCCTGGATTTCTTAACTGCAAATTCAAACCAGCTGCTAGGTTCACAATACATTTTCTTGATATATTCATGTAAAAAACTTAATTTTTGCTTAGGTAAGTTAGGATTAAAAGAAAATTTGGCTTAATCAGCAGACAAATCCTGAGAACATGCTCTGGGACACAGATTTTCCTCTATAGAACTCAGTGTCTTTAGGATCAATCTCAAAAAAAAAAAAAACCCAAGCAAACAGTAATACAAGTATGATTACAAAAACAGTAATTTGGCTTTATTCATAAACCATCTCTTAAGATTCACATTCAGTAACATTTAGCAAAATAACATTCTTTCTTATGAGCTTTACTCTATCATGATAGCAATCTTTCTTCTGATCCTTTCTGGCATCTCTCCAGACCAGTCCTCAAATCAAAAACAAAATGAGGGAAGTCTTAGAAGGCTATGTGGGATACCAAGTCCCTACAAAAGGATAATGCAAAACCACACAAAAACTTCAGTTGCTTGGTTGTGTCCAAGAACCTGCGCAGTACGAATGTTTGTTTTCAGAATTATCCACATAGTAAATTCCTTAGAAATCTTAAAAATACCACATTGCCCCTGCCTTTCTACTTATTAATTAAACTAATTAAATGCAAACATTAGACAATTTCATCTCCTCATGCAAGTCAGTTTCTTCACGAGTATTGTACTGAACCTTCCCATTCTCAAATTCAGGGAATTCCAAGCATTTATGTTATTTTTCATGCTCATAACCATCCACACCACTGATTACCTACATACCACCCAATCTCTAATCTGGCTCTTCCAAATGTTTTCAAAACCTGCCATATTCAAATTGCAACATTTATTTCCCTCCTGTTTGTTTGTTGTTGGTTTTTTTTTGTGGTGGGTGGGGGGGGTGGTGGTGTTTGTGGTTTTGTTGTTTTTTTTTAAGGCAAGTGGCTCTTATATTCCTGGAATCACCACAAATGCATAGTACGCGATCCAAGACCACACTTGACAACTGGATAAAGAAAAGAAGTTACATACTACATACCCTTTTTCTTTACTTTCATGCCTTTTTCAAACTTAAGACTTTCCACTTCACTTTCTGTTGCTTCATCTTGTATTGAAGAAGAGTGGCTAACCTGAGATGGAGCATTCTGGGATCTCTGCTGCAGGCCCCCTGTTTTCCCTTTAACAGCTGACAGTACTTTCTCCTGTGGCTGATTAGGTCCAGTTGGAGCATTTAAGGGAATCACAAGCTGAATAAAGTAATATAGTTTTCTTATTGATCATGGCTTGCACTGAAAAATTCCATCTACAACATTTTTACAGTTTGAGATTATTTTCCTGACACAGAAAAATGAAACAATGGAAGGAATATTCATATAAAGCAACTTATTCTTTCAGGTTCTTTTATATACTTAACTGTGAAATATGACTTTAAATGTCAATTATTTTTTCTTAAACATGAAAATGTACAACACTGTCTAAAACAAAAAATGTGTAAGCTATACCTGGGCACTCAAGCTCTCCCTTTGCAGAATTACGGATACCCCAACAGTAGGAGCCATATCCAAAGGCAACTGTGGCAGTTTCTGTTCAGCTCTATTTGGTGGAACAAGGACAAATGCTCCTTCTATTGTCACAGGATGTTGATCGATCTCTGCATTTCCCTTCTTCAGTAATCCAGACAGGGGTATTTCAGTGTTTCCAAGAGACTGGTCCCCACAGCAAAGATGGATCTGCACACATACAAAGGTGTTTGAATGTAACTGTGTGTCCCTTTCCACTTGAACTGTCTGATCACCCTCTACTATAGGTAGTAAAAGCATAACACGTTAAAATGAGTATCCCTAGTCCAGTCCCTGTATGCTGAGAACATGTGTTTTGAGAAGTACAGCAACAGCTATGAAATTTCAGTATTGAGAAGGTAGGAACTGCCCAGTGCTAGCACAGTAGCAGATCACAGCATTGCCCTTCTAAGGGCCTGTCATGCCATCCGTTTTGGAAAGGAATTAAGTAGTCTGTGGCTTCTAAACACAGCACAGATTCTTGTCCCTGAAACAGTGACATTCAAAATGCATGACTGCAAAGTTCAGCCTTTGTGTATATATTTAGACACCACCTAAAGAGCAAGGATTTTGAATAACTGTGTTCTTAATCCCTAGTAAGAAGCATTATTCCTTTTTCAAAACTTGAGTCAACTCTTTCTTCCTTCCATGATTAAGCATTTATACACGTAAGTAGAAGATGATCTTAAAGAAACCCCACAATCTAAAGTAATGTATTTTCCTCAGTGAAAGTTACTCTTTGAAACTTACATATCACTTCTGTTTTAGCAGATGAGAACACTGTAATCTCATCCTTAATGTTTATAACACTTTAATGCTAAAAGGTGTCAGCTGCCAACATACATACCTAAGTGGGTATACATACGTACACATATATTACATATAACACCCCCCTCCCCGAGTCTGGCAGCTAGAACCTTTTACAAATAAGGTCTTAATTCTTGGAAAAAATATATTAAATATTAAGGATCAGAATACCATGCTCTGTTCCTATATCCTAAATTTTAAATAGCTGGGTGAGAAGTTGGGGAAAAAAAAAAACCTGTAAATCAAGATGTGGATCTGACCTCATGAGAACTTGTTTAAAAAGTCATTCTTTAATATGATGAAAACACACAGTTCTCTGTATGTGTACATATGGATATGTTATATTAAATACTTTCTGTCAAGACCATAGACTAAGTTTAAATTCCAAACATCAGTCCATGTTTCTTCCAAAAACTGTAATTAGAAAAATATTTAAAGTTGAGGTAAAAAAAAAACAGAATAACCTGAAACAAACAGATTTAAACAGGAATATTCTTAAACTCGGATAATAAACTAGAATAGTCTGTACAAGTTTAAAGAAAAATAACTTTAAAGGGTCCAGATTCAAGACTTTGTATAACGAACACTGTCTTACTTACCACCTATGTTATTAGAAACTATACTACCCTCAATCAATCTCATTTTGTAATGAGTTAAGTATGAGCCATACACAGATTGCCATAAACACTCTCTATACTATCTAGTATTATGCATCAGAATAATTTCGATTGTAAAATACTCTTAAGATCAACGAGTACAACTGTAAATCTAATACTGCAACTCCACCACTAAACCATGTCCCCCATTTAAAAGCATAACTAAAGATAAGCAATATCCTGCAACAGCCCAAATATGGCTGTTGTGTATTTAAAAATAGTATTTGCTTAATGAGTGGGGAAAAAAAGCCAGACCTCCCTTGTTATTCAGAAAGGGTGCTGAAAACACAGTGATTTTAGAGCTTAAGAAAAAGTGACCTGAGCAACTGGTATGGGTGAGGTTATCACAAGCAGCACAAAGCAGGACTGTGGGTTGCAGGTGGTCTGATTGCAGAACAAGTCCCAGAGCTACATGCTCTTGAGAACGCCACATTAACTCTTTGGGAATATCATGTTTCAGCAATACCTTTTATCACATTGTGCAACCCAGCTTAGTATAGCAACTGTACTGAAGAGACAGCTCTCCGTCTAGGTGCTGCTAGGGTTTCCTTCATATCAGCAAGGGAATCAACTTGTATTTGAGCAAAAATACTGTAATACAATCTAGTTCTGGAAAGAGAAATGTTTTCTGGTTCCAGCCATATTCTATTTTCATTATTTTCATTCCCATTTGAGAAGAAACAGCTTACCTGCAATTTTGACTGTGCACAAAGATAAACTTGAAGGACATCAACAGTACTACGTATTCGAACTGAGGCTCTTTCTGGCTCAAAGTTTGGATTAATTAAATCAGTGAAAGGCTCATTTGTGACATCATTTCCCAGTAATGAATAGTAGAAAAAAAACTCAGGCTGCCGCTCTGGAAGCTTCATAGTAGTAGGAACTAACTGAAAAAAGATGCAGAAAAGGAGATACCATCTTCATTAAAGTGCTGTTACAGTAATCCTTAAGTATTAGCTTGGAAATTAAGAGCTGAAAGTGATCTCAACCTACCAAGTAGCTGAACTAAATCCTAGCTTGCACTACACACACAAAATGAAAATATTAATAATCAAGCTGAAGAGAAAAATATCTTATTGTACAATTATACCAGTAACTTGCAAAATGCCCCAGTCTGAACTACCTTTAAGATTTATCAGCACCAGGGGCTGTAACTGACATATTCAATAATGCCAAGTACTGCACAAATATTCAGAAATCAGCAGTGCCTTCACAATATAGTACAAATAAACAATGCAGATTAGATACTGAGTTATGTAACAGCTTACGTGATTGAATAAAAGACTGGAAGAGCCAGAAACAGCTACTTCATCCTGTAGCCACTGCACCTGTGAATTCAATGCCTAGAAAGGAACAAGCTACCTCAGACTGATCACAATAAGTTTACCTCACAAGGCCCTATAATTCTGCCATGGAAAAATATTTTCTATGTAAAAATATGAAAAGACTGAGAAGAGTTTTTCATATACTGTAAGTTACAGATCAATTAAAATCACATCAGCTTGGAGTCATACCTTTCACAGTAATTTGGGCATACCTATATTTTTAAATCGGACAATGTGTATCAGTGTGGTACGGTCCAGCATGAACGCAGCAGCTGAAGCCTAAAGCTGAAATAATCACATCAGCATGGCCCTTAATTCTACCTAGTAAGTCCTTCCTTAGCAACATACAAGCTCTACTGTTTCATATATCTTATGGATCTGAAAGGTACTTTGTCTTCATTGAACTTCAGCAAATGTGGGCACCACACTGAAGACTGATATTATCCATAAGCATACTTTTAATACTATATTATAATATAAATGTATGCATTTCATTGAAGTTCATAATTTTAAAAAAAATGCCATTTTAGTTCTCAAAAAGCATTCTGATCTTTTATCTGTAATTTCACATGCACTACATAAAAGTTTAAAAATCCAAACTCATGTATATTAACTCAATATGGGACAAAGCTACTTAGTACAGGAAATTTCAAATATAAAAATTCTAACTAGAAATAAAGCATGTCATGGCAAAAATACCAGCATGAGACAGTACTTCTTAAAAACTATAAAACAAACTTAAAAGGAACGAAACAAACCTGTTCCAACTGTGCGGCAAACACAATGGTCACAGACAAGACAAAGTAGTCTCTGCAATATTCCGCCGGTCCAATCTGATGACAACCTTCTTCTTCATTCAAGACTGGTACTATACTTTTAGGGTCTATTCCAGAAAGAAGGGCAGATGCTAAGAGAGAAGAAACAAATTAAGTAACTTGTGGCAGGAATCTTACCTATCATTTTATTTTTACGTATTGTACATGTGAAAAGAAAAATTACAAATAGAAGGTCTTCTTGATGCTTCTAAGGCATTTCAACACAAAGAAGTCCCTAAGTATACATAAGTATAGCTACAAAAATAAAAAAAAAAAAATTCTATGGAGTGAGCACAGATGTTATTTTGAACACAGAATGCTCCTGTGTATTTCTATTTACTGTTCCAGTGAATAACATTACAGTGACTATTTCACTGCATTAGTCTACCATGCTGTTTATTTTATTCATGAAAGGGAATAAAGTAACTGCATAAGGCAACCTGTTCAATTGCTGAAAGTATGTCTCATTCCACACACCTGTAGAACATTTAATTTAAAGATTTTTCAACTGAAGACTTCAGTGCATAAAACACTGACTATATTCTGGTAAACTAGTTTATAGTGCTAGTAATCCAATACATTCAAGGCATCTCAGATTACACCAAACAGTAACAATCACACAGCACTTTTGCTAGTTAACCTAAAGGCTTCATTTCAAACACTAGAAATTTTAGACTACTTAGCTCAGTGAAGCAAAAAAATAAAAGAAAATAATTAAAAATACAAAGGAAAACATCTTCTTAACTATCTGAGTACACTAGGACTGGGTAGTCTAGCTTTGCCACACCCAATGCTTGTAATATTAACGTTAAGCCTGTGAAAAACCTGCACATCAGTTTTCCTCCAATACCTAAATATGGCACTAAATAACCTTGAGATAGCAAAAGAAACAGAAAAGCTGGCAAACTTCTTTGAATCAATTATTCCACAGAAAGCATGAGGTAGAAGTCAGTGCTGGATGAAAGCATATGGGATTTCTTGTATTTTCTCCCAGTGTCATGAGGAGATTGTGGGCAGAAAGATCACAAGGGAAGTGCAGATTAACACATCATTTATAATAGTTCCTTGCTCTTTTACAACGTTTACAGTATGCAAAATTCCCTGTGCTTTGATGTGAACCTGAAAGGAGGAAGTAAGCTAACTAAGGGAGTTTTTTTTTACAAAACCAGAGATCATGATAAGCAGATGATAAATTTAGCACTAGGAAAAACCCTCAAGGCAAGAATACAAAATAAGTAGTAGAAAATCCACTAGTTGCATCAGAGGCTCAAGCCTTTGGAAGTTATATAGATAGGCTTTTTGGGTGGGGGATAAGGGGGAGATAAATCTGTTTTTAGTTGGTGTTTTTTTTTTTTTATTTTAACTTTCCTACGGGTTTGGTTTTGTTCTTTTTTTTAAACTATGAACTTGCATGCAAAAAATCCCAGTTAAAAAATTGACTGAAAAGCACAGCACGTAAGGACACCTACTATCAGTAGTATCTGAGTTCTAATATATTTTTGACACATTTCACTAATTACCCAAGAGGCATGTACAAGGGAATCCAAAAGTGAGGATATTTTTCAAAGAGAGTGATATTATGTTACTTACCTTTCCCTTCTCTAGGAGATGCCTCCTTTGCTTTAAAACCATCAACCAGTGCTTTTGAATCAGTCTCCAACACAACACCTACTTGTATTTCAGATTTAAATTTAGTGTACTTGTTACTAAGCAGAGGATACCATTTGGGTGCCTACATGATTAAAAACAAAAAGGATTTTAAAAACATTAAAATAATATGATACTGTTACAGGAAAAATTGCTCTAGCTTTTCTACTACATCACTACTTCATTTGCTGCAAACAGAGCATGGTGCATCAGCCTGGGCATGGTGTGACAGTCTGCACAGGAAGGTGTGCAGGGAGGACTCCTCTTTGGAGAAGGGACATTCAACCTGCCAACTGCAGAGACTTCAAGCTCACATAACCCAGCAACTGGGCACCAGTCCATGACCATCTGCACAGCTCAAGGGCACTCATCTTACCTGCCCCTCAAGGCAGTAATGGTGGGCACCCATCACAGAATAAAGGCTGCAGCACCAGTTCAGGGGTCTGCACCATCTACCCTGGCAGTAGGTGATGCTTCCACCCAGACAGAGCTGCTATAGGGAGAGGCTGCAGGAAGTTCCCTGCCCTTTCTTTTGGGACAGAGACAGGCAGTAGACCTGCCTGCAGACAGTGTGCTGAGGTGGAGGACCTCCTGCAGCAGGTGGAGCCTGTGTAACACCAGGGAAAGGCAAGAAGGAATTGGATAGCTGATTCCGTGCAGGCTGCAGCAGACCTACAGCCAAAAACTGCCCACCAGCACACATAGAAGGGAGAGGGGGCAATAATGCAGAAGAACGGAAGCTTGCAACGGCAAGGCCCTGCAGGAAGACAAGACTTCTCCCAGTGCTTGAGGTACCCTTGCAGAACCACTTTGTCATTCTGCAGACTGAAGATGTAAGACCCATCACATCATGAGATAAGCTGGAGCTGAGTATGGCAGCTTGATCTGCTCCCTGTGTAACAGCCAGCACAACTAAGGAAAGGCAGTGCGTGATAGTAGTAGGTAACTCTCTCCTGAGAGGTTCAGAGGCACCCACTTGCTGACCTGACGTGCTCCTTAGAGAGATGTGCTGCTTACCAGGGCCTCACATCAGGGATGTAATCAAGACTGCCAAGCCTCACATAGTAGACTGACTATTATCCACTGCTGTTGTTTCATATGGACACCAATGATACAAGAGCAGTCTGAGGAGTACCAAGAAAGATCACAGCCCTGGAAGCAGCAGTAAGGGACCCTGGAGCACAGGCAGTTTTTTTTTCTCAATCCTCCTGGTCAAAGAGAAGGGGTTGGAAAGGGCCAGTCAGAGCTGGCCAATCAACAAATTGTTACAGGACTGATACCTCAGCCACTGGCTTAGCTACTTAAGACCATGGACTCCTAGTTAGGGGCTGGTGGGGCACATGAAGCTCAAGGGCAGCCTTGGCTACAATGACCATGAAGCAGTGGAATTTGAGATCTTTATTATTCTTTATTATGGAACACAAAGCCTTAAGGACACCAGGAACCTTACAAAGGATAAAATAAGACACTGTTATGACCTGTATCACAGTAATGTTTTGCTCAAGCACAACAGAATTTTGGTTGAACTTGTATGTATAATTACGCTTATACTATGCTGTGCTAAGGGACTAGAACTTCTGATTGCCTAACATATCTTCCACAGAGGCCTATTAAAAAAAAAACAACACAACAAGAAGAGAAGTAGGTGATCACTTAGGAGTCATACTCCAAAATACAACTCAATTTTTGCCTGTACATTAATTGAAATTCTATTATCTGTAATGGTACCAGCATCAAAACATAAGTTTTTAAAGCTTTAGACCCCATAACATACCTGTTTCTTTTCCTGTACAGCCCTTAAATCAAGTACAATATAGCCTATGTTATCCTTAGACGAAGATACAGGATCCAACACACAACATTGGAGTTTGATAGGTGTACGCTGCAGCCTGAAACAACAACTCAGTTGAAATCAAAATGTAAAAGTTACCTGTTCACAAATTTACATTTCAAGCATAGTAATAATACAAAATTTGTTAAATAGCTAGTTTCTGTAGGTCAGAAACTGAATTGATACTGAAGGTCTAAAATTCATCATTAAGAGATGAAATGAAGTGGATTGATTTTGTCAGACGAGTATACCAAAGTCTCACCAAGCCTCAAGTGTTATTAAAGTCATTAGTGACAAATAAATGCAAGATTGTCCACATACGAAAAATAAGCACTGCACCTCACATGAAAGTGGAATTTTACTTGTAAAGGTATCTTAAAAACAGGACTTATGCAAAAGATCTTTGTGACAGCACCAAACAATACTTAGAGACATAGATAAGGTATCTAGCACAAGGTACATTAGGCATTTTTTTCTCAAAGATCACATGGCCTTTTTAAATTCTTTGAAAATACAAAGGTAACATTAAAATCTGTCAGCCTAAATAAGAGTCATAGAAATCTTATTCAATTTTTCACATTTTCAGAAGCATTTAAAAATAGGCATTTCAGGCTTGAAGTTAATTCTTTGTCACTATATACATGAGAAAGCTTGAATCCAAAGCTTGAACTACAGAATTATTAATTTACTATAAGCTCTTGTTTTTTTTTCATTAGAGTAAAAACATACCCTTATATCACTCATTTTGCTACATACTACTTTTGTTTCTTGTGGCAACATTATGGTAGGTCAGGGCACAGCTAAAAAAAAAAAAAAGAATTCAAATGACAGTAACAGAAAAACTGTATTTCAGTAGCTGTAAAGAAAAGAAAATTAAGTTTTATTTCCGAATTAGACTGAAGTTTCTAATATTACCTGTGCTGATGAAGCGCTTTTCTGTCAAGTTCCCAAGCCAGCTCTGTAGCAAATTCTGGCTGATCCGTGTGCTCGACAGGATCAGTAGCCAACTGTTCACCATCAAACTTTGCCTCAACTATAAGCAGGTGCTTGGGTCGTTTTGGAAAACAGCGGCCTGTAAGAGAGTAACTGCCATGTGCCATCACCAAAAAAAGAAGTGAGAGCTGAGATTTCTGACATAAACCAATGACATAAAAACATATTTCCTTTGCCGTCTTCCCTGCACTTACTCTAAAGCTCTGTTCTTTATATTAAAAGAATTAAAAAAAATCTTCCTACTATGCAGGCACAAAAAAAAAAAAAAAGAGACCCCACACATTAGCACATGAAACAGAATATTTGAGAAGCATACAGAAACAGCAAGACAAGACAAAAACAAAGAACAAAGAGTAAGAAACTAGGCAACTGGTATGATTTAATTTTGAGAAATTGTGACTGGATTTAGGCCAAGTGAACAGGTGAGAGACAGACCAAATGTTTTTCCTCTACTGCAGATTTTATCTCTGCCCCACACTAATGCAACAAAATACAATCTCATGAAAGCAGTGAGAAGTGGATTTCCAACTGTCGTAAAAAAGAAGCACTACTTGATTAAGAGTGCCTGAAGTTGTGTAGGATTTGTCCTGTGCTTAGTATCCTCTCACATTCTGATTAATAATTTAAATGACAAAATGAATACTTAAAATTTACACATATCAGCGTGGCCTATGTACATGTTTGAGAACAGTATCCTATTTTAAACCTGCGTTGGCAAACTACCTAAATGAACAGAGAGGATTTACTTGACAAGGAGAAAGCACTCAGCCCCTAAAAAACCAAACAACCCAAAATATAAGGGGAAAAAATAAACCCTTCAAAAAAAAAAACCCATCATACCCCACAGACTATCACACTAATTATACCTCAGTAAGTAGAAATACAAGATGAAGCGTGACTAAAAAAACTTACAGTAGATGGCTAATATGGGATTAGAGACACCAGAGTACTACTTAGAAATAAAAAGGGGGCTTGAACTGACTGGGATTACCACAACACATGGGCTGGACTACACCGTTTTGACCCCAATGCTAAACTGTCCTGACATGTGCTGCCTGACTGCATTGGCTTCCGGCCAGCCAGGGAGCACCAAGGCTGTGCTGCTGCTGCTCGCAGTTGGGGCCGGAGGGCCGGCACAGCACAGGGGTCTCTGTCTGCACTTGGGCTCGATCCCAAAGGTATGGTGGGAGCAGCTGCACGTCAAACGGCAACACGGGCCAGGTGAGTTTGGTAGTACAGAAAAGGGAGGAGGCTTTCACAGAATCAGCTGGGTTTGAAAAGACATTTCAGATCATCAAATCCAACCATTACCCCAGCAACTACCAAGATCACCACTAAATCATGTCACTAAGGGCCTCATCTACACAGTCTGCAAACACTTCCAGGGACAGTGCCTGCACCCTGGGCAGGCTATTCCAATACTGGATTAGCTTTCAGTGATGAAATTTTTCCTAATACCCAATCCAAGCCCCTCCTGGTGCAGCTTAAGGCCATTACCTCTTGTCCTACCACCTGTTACTTGGTAGAAGAGACCAACTCCCACCTCACTACAACTTCCTTTTGGGCAGTTGTAGATAGCGATAAGGTCCCCCGTGAGCCTCTTCCCCAGACTAAACCTCCCCAGTTCCCTCAGCCGTTCCTCATCACACGCTCCAGGCCCTGCACCAGCTCTGTTGCCCTTCTCTGGACCTTCTCCAGCACCTCAATGTCTCTCTTGTAGTGAGGGGCCCAGAGCTGAACACAGTACTTGAGGTGCGGGCTCACCAGTGCATTACAGGGGGATGATCACTGCCCTGGTCCTGCTGGCCATGTCACTTATTTTAAATATTATTGTACACATGATTTTAAATAATGCTTTGGGTAAGTACCCCAGAAACAAACTGGGGGTAGTCTATCCTGCTTCAAGAGATGCAGATCCACCACGTTATTAATTGAGCAGTTAACTAAATGCAGCGAGTCTCAGCTCGCTCATTCCATAACATAAAACGCATCCTCGGGCACTGAACCGCCCCCCCCCCCAATTTTCCTTCCAGAACGGAAACATCGACAAGCAGCTGGGAGCCCGCGAACTCCTCCGGTTACCTTCCAGCACGGAGACGACAATCAGCAACCGATCCATGGCCCTGGAAACCATCTCCCCCTTCCGCCCGGGGACTGCTGCGGCGGCCGGGAAGCTATAAAAGCCCTGCCGCCACTCACCTCCCTTTTACCGCCTCGGAACCTTTAAACGCCAACTGCCACCGGCCACTGCACTTCCGCCTTGCCACTGCGGCACCGCCTGCCGCACGGCACGGCGCTTCCGGCGAGGCACTACAAGGCCGCGCCCCTCAGCGCCCTGGGCCCGCTACGCGACTCAGTGGTATGCATCTAACCAGTTGCATTGTTTCGCGCTTCTCTCGTCGGCTGCTTCTGGTTGGATTGACCCGTCGGTCTGTTTTGTGGGTTAGCAATGGAACGATTCAGGCAAGGCATCCTGTGTATTAAAACAGCGAAGTTTCCTTATGTTTCCTATTTCTATCACTGTGATGCGTAGCAGGGGAGGATACTGCACCTGGCTCCTGAGAAGTGCAGCTTTGTAGTGCTCAGATAATTTCTTAAAATAGTCTATCTTCCGATGAGGTAACACCCAGTTAAGCAATAATAACCAGGTATCAGTGTGTCCCCTGGCATCCTAGATTACATGTATGCTGTGACTGTGAGGCAAAAGAAACCATTTTTATTTTACAATCTTCTGTTTCATAGAATTACAGAATGGTTTGGGTTGGAAAGGACCTTAATGTCACCCAGCTCCAACCCCTTGACACAGGCAGGGACACCTACCACCATACCAGGTTGCTCCAAGCCCCATCCAACCTGGACTTGAGCACTGCCAGGGATGGGGGCAGGCACAGCTTCTCAGGGCAATCTGTGCCAGTGTAATATGATCGTTACAGTAAGGAATATCTTCCCAATATCCGGTCTAAATCTACCCTCTGTCAGTCTAAAGCCATTCCCTGTTGTCCTGTCACTACAGGCCCTTGTAAGTAGGCCCTCTCCAGGTTTTGTATACACCCCTTCAGGTATTGGAAGGCTGCTGTCTAGTTCCAAGTCTAAGTCCTAGTTTCTAGTTTATTAGATAGCCTGGCAAAAACTTTGCACTGAACTAAACATCTTCTTTGTTAATAATGCACATTTTTCCAGGAAGATACTGAGTTGTGATTTGCAAACATCGGGAGAGGTAGAGCCCCTTTCCTTTTGGAGGATTTCATTCTGATTCTGTTAAATGAATTTTCTCATTTCTGAGTTGAATCTGCCTGAGTTCAGTCCTAGCTGCTGCTTTCTGCTGTGGCATTTGCTACTGTGTAACACTGCATTTGGCATGGTAACTCTGCATGTTTACAGTTCAGTTCTTAAATATCTGTAACTGTCAACTTCTACAAACCCAGCTGTAGTTACTTTCAAAAAGAAGACACTTTTAAAAGAAGACTTGGAGACAGACCTCTGAAAAATGGGTCATTTTGGCTAGGAAGGGAACACGATCACAGATGACAAAAATGTACAATTTACCTGGAAACTTTTTTTGTTCGAAAATTTATTTCTCTAGGTGGGATTCCTTAAAATAATGTTTTGTGGTGACTTACATGAGTTCATTCCATATCAGAGTGCTGCAGTTTGTAACCAGAATAAGCTACTGTATCAGTAAATAAAGATATAAACAGTTAAATTGCTTATTCCAGGAATAAAAGCCAATAGTGATTTCTGGCTGAAAAAATAGTTTAAAAATATCTCTCAGTGGGCCTCTCCTTTTCCTCACAACAGTCTGCTGTATTTCATGACTTCTTGTTCCCTTCTATTTTTGGTCTTTCTTCACTTCTTGTTTTCCCATATTTTGTCTTGCTAACCTTCCAAATCCTATTAAGTATTTTTTCCACTTTCTTACCTACTCTGCAGACCAACGACCCAGGATGTAATCTTCCTCTAGGGAGAGTCTTCACAGTGAGCTTCTTTCCTTTTTAAATCTTTAGGTGGTGCCTACCTGAATAAAGACTTGCTATTTTTATCATCAGTCTTTTTTGAAATAAATAATCTCAGGTCCCAGAGTTCTTTCTGTTAGTCATGTATTCTATGATTTTATTTCCTGTTGGCCTTCTCTGAGCTTTTAATTAGCCCTCACCTTTCTTCACTGACAGTGCCTGTAGGTGGATAGATTACATCAGACAAGGCCACTTTAGTGTTTCTACAACAGAATTATTGCATGTTTTCCTCCATATTCTCCACTTTCTTCCTGTGATCTATGGATGGAAAACCAATTGGTTCTTGTAACTGCTCCTGGATCTGGTTTTTGCACACTTAGCAAGCTGAACTGGTTCAGCACAGGTTCAGACAAATGCCAGAACCAGCACAAAAGGAAGAAAGCAGATGGCTAACCACACTGGTTGAGAGCTGTTTGTGTCTGCAGATGGCATGTGATTTCTCTCCTTTTGGCTTCAGCAGTTCATTAAATGAGGCCATGAATCTTTATTCTCAGACATTCTCTCCTGGCCTTAGCCTGACTTTCAGCTTCATGTTACAGATATTAACTGTGCCAAGAATCTCGTCACCATTAACCTTTTCCAGTAAAGACTTTTTAAAATCTTCCTATCACCACCAAAGGCTGGTATTTTACTATGCTTTCATAGTCTTGCCTAGATGTTTTTCACCCTACCTGGGTGCCAGGCTGCAGGCTGTGCCCTGTTCTTGTGCCAGGATCGATGGCAGCAGTGAGCTCATATGCATGAGTGAGCCCCGGATAGAGGACCTCCTCCGCTTAGTACAGAGCTCCACAAGGGAGAAAGGGATAAAACCTGGTTCACTAGAGATAGGTCTATGGGCAATTCACTGATGTTGGAGGGAGGGTGTGCTAGTGAAGTCCTTTGGTCTCCTCCATGATGTGCTGAGGAAACAGAGGCACATTTGCAATGCCCCTGTACTAACCATGTCAGTGGAATAGAGGATGGAAATTCATGCAGCTGCAAAGATGCCAGGGGTTGCTGAAGTGTTAGGAACCACAGAAGCACCTGACAACAGTCACATAGTATTTATTGCTTCTCCCCCTGCAAAAGATGGCACCTTATCCATTGCATAGTCCATTTATCAAAAAAGTGTCTCACCAAATTAGTGACAAAGACGTTTTGTAGGACTGTGTCAAAGGCCTCACAGAAGTCAAGGCAAGTGGCATCTTCTGTTATCCATCAGTGCAATGACTCTGTCATAGAAGGCCACTAGATTATTAGGCACGATTTGCTCTTGGTGAAGCCATCCTAGCTCTCTTCTCATCACCTCCCTGTTATCTGTATGCCTTGACAAAGAGATCCAGGAGGATCTGTTCCATTTTCCCTAAGTCAAGTCTGTTTTCCTCATGATGGTACTTGGTAAGTGATTGACCTGTCTTTATCTCAACTTATAAGCTTTTCTGTCTTTTTCTCACTGGCCTGGTGAGGAGGGGGAGTGAGAGAGAAGCTGGGTGGGCATCTGGCAGCCAACCAAGTTTAACCCATGACAGCACCGTATTACAGAAAAATAAGGATTTTCTCATCATTTGAGAAGTAATGGAGAAATGGCTGTTTATTTTTACAACATTTTAGAATATTGAAAGCATAGAAAAATAGCCCACAAGAAATGTACATGGTACCATAGTTTCATAGTAATTCAGTGTCTGTGAGATAAAACTGCAGGAACCCAGTATGTATTTCTATTAATGCCATCAGTACAGACTGTAGTGTATTAAGTTGAAACTGGTTTTTAGCTCCAACTTTAAGGCTAAACATTTGGGAGCACAGCTTATATTATATATGGACACTTTTTTATAAATAGCATATTTAGTGCATTTTGCTCTCTGGATATCTAGTTTTAAAAAAAATGGTCATGATTTTTTGTAGTATTGCAAGCTTACAGCTATCACCGATTCCAGTCGATATTGTTCAACTACCCACAATCCAAAAACTTTTGAAAATACATGCCTGAATTGCCTCACCTTTAAAAAGGAAACAAAGTTAGGTAACTATTCACATTGTACAGGCAATTGTGCATAAATTTACTAGGAGATATTATTTTTCACTTGTTTGGTATTTGCCGCAGAAAATATATGTACTCAGTCAGAGATCAATATGATCAGACAAAAAGCCGTTTATTACAAAGCCTTAACCCCTTAAATACTATTTCTTACACGCACTTACAGTGATTTGGCATATTATGATTGGATACATGTCCTGAAGACCCTTTGCATCTAGCATATAATTGGTTAAGCACAGGTGTGGGAACTTGACCTCGAAAGCTTGTCAACAGTCCACAGTTCTCATTAACTCGGTGAAATCCAGCTTCTTCTTATCTTGCTTGTTTAGGCTTCTTCGGGCCTCTCACGGCCTTGCTGTATCTTTCAGGATTTTCAGAGTTTATGTACCAATTATCCATTCTCCTGTGAGAACACTGTCTCCGCATCTCCCCCTTTTTGTATATTCAACACAGATTACATCATTGACTAATACATATGCATTAAGGATTGCTACATCAGTCTATTACATCAGCCTCTTTTGCGCTTGCGCAGCCCCCTCTGGTGGTTGCCCTGATGAAGTAAGGAGTCTTCCTCAGATGAAGTAAGGAGTCTTCCTCAGATGAAGTAAGGAGTCTTCCTCAGATGAAGTAAGAAGTCTTCCTCAGGTTGTCCTCTTCACCTTTTCTCTACTTGGATAGGTCCCAATCGTCTTGTGGACGTTAGCATTCTCTTATCTTCACCAGGATGCTTCTGGTATGCCCTTTTTGGCTATCTTAAAAGTTCTGCTTGGGTAGAGTTTTACAATACATACTTCCCTAAATACACCCATACTCCCCTCACCATATATAGTTATGTTAGCTCTTGCTACCAAGGCTACCATTGTAACATTTAGTTATAGAGTAACTATGATACCAAACGGCAAAGTTACAATGTCTTCTAATATGCAAAGCCTCACTATTGATTTATAAATGTCTCAAATATCATTTTACTATTTTATATGATTATTTTATTGTAAAAACTTCACCCTTTTCTAACACTCCGAGAAGCATCATTGCAGTGCGAGGTGGCAGGCTCAACCTTAGCGGGCGTCCCCGCAGAGGCTCTGCCTCCCTCACAGCGCATGAGGCTTGGGCTTTTATTCTGACGAAAATGCACACTC